CCCGGATTAAGTGCGCGAACTAATAAGAATAAATTTATTCTGTGTATGACTTCTGCAGGGATAAAAGTGAAGGCTGAAGAGCGACAAGTGAGCACTGTTGTGCCGAAGTTTCAGTTTTTTCTTGCCACTGGTTCAGTTTCAGTGTTCTGTGATCAGGGACGAGTTGAGAGACGTTTTGAGCCTTGTGGAGATTGTGACATCTATGTTTTGAGCTTTGTGTTCTTTAGATGAGTGTGTGAAGCGCAACAAAATTGATTGCTTAAGAAGAACGATGCATCACAACCTTTGTGTTGTGTGAGCTGCACAGCATCAGACAACAGGGAATGGCAGGTGAACGACATTTTTACCAGAGTATATTATGTGCTCATTGAACAGATCATACGCATGCATCAAGCACATAAATCGTGAATAGGGAACACTTCATGAGACGCCCTTCCTTTGTTTCCATTTCTTTGAAAAGCCTCCGCGTGTATGACCTTCATGTTTTTCATGAAATGGAGGCGCACAAGAACATTCTAAAAAGCGCTTGAATTGCTCACATCCTAAGGCTGATGTCTTGAGCGATACGCGATGAAACGATCGCTATGAAAAGTGCCAAAGTTAAACTTTAACAGGGGAAGAGCACTTCGCTTCAGTGCTGGGGGTGGCTTGTCCCGAGCTGGGGCGGAGAAACCCTTTTAACATTCTTTGCATTTTTTGACAACTTTATACGCGAAGACCTCTATCAATGCAATTATCCAATGCGAGAAAATACGTTGAGCTTGCCGTAAGTACTTTAGGTGGTCCGATTACGCGCCACGGTCCAAAGATGTGATGCTTTTAACCAAACGAGGGGGCGTTTTTGCCTCTAACCAGTGCGTTGAAAGAATTATCAGGAATACCTGATCAGATATGGTGTAATACCTTATCAGATAGCGGCCTTATCCTTGTCATTTCTGTTCAGTTTTATTGACGCCCGTGTCCTAAAAATTCTGGGATGTTGACATGTTGTAGAGTCGATGTTCTACCTGTCGGTATTAAGCGTTCGACTTTTCTCATGCAAATATTTTGCGGCCCATACTATTGTCCGCCGTTGACTAGCGTGTCGATGTTTCACCTTGATATCCCCTTAGCCATATTCCATATCAGTCGTTCATTAACGTCGCAGCTCAATTTCAGGTGTGCGCATTGGTGAATGGCTTCGCACGCTGTGGTCGGGAGCCATCTTTGTACAGACAACGTCATACATCGAGACAACCAAGCTGACAAACGCCGCCGATTTGGTGGTCTCGTTCCGGCCACTTCCAAACGGACAAGGCGAAGTGGAAGGACCTATGTGGATTCACGTGTCCGAGCAGGGTCAGGGGCTGGAGACAGAGGGGGCCCAGGCGACAGAGCAAGTGTTAGGCCCGCAACGGGACTGGAACACGACCATGAACAGTCGATTGGCCTAAAACCAGCAGCAGTGCAAGAAACGGCGAGGGAAAGCCGATGGGGAGACTCAGAGCACGATAGGAAACGTCATCTGAGCCCTGAGCGGCGTGGCTCATCGTCAGACACAGATCCAGAGCCGGAGCAGGGACAGCGCTCGGAGCCGGAGCGGGGACAGCGCCTGGAACCGGGGCAAGGACAGCGCCCGGAGACGGAACAGGGACAGCGCTCGGGGACGGAGCAGGGATAGCGCTCGGAGACGGAACAGAGACAGCGCTCGGAGACGGAGAAGGGACAGCGCTCGGAGCCGGGGCAGGGACAACGCTCGGAGCCGGGGCAGGGACAGTGCTCGGAGACGGAACAGAGACAGCGCTCGGAGCCGGAGCGGGGACAGCGCTCGGAGCCGGAGCAGGGACAGCGCTCGAAGCCGGGGCAGGGACAGCGCTCGGAGCCAGAGCCGGTGCCGGGGCGACGCGTCCGGCTCAGGCTCCTGGAGCCAGGTGTGCTCGGCCTGACGGTTCGGCTGTGGCGCGGCCTCGCCGGCCGGCCGTCCGCCCTCCTGCTGGCCAGCTGCGCCGGCGGTCGGCTGCACATCCACCGCCGGCCAGCGCTGGACAGCACCGCTCGTGGCCGCGACGTCGGCTTCGGTGGCCAGCTGAGGGGCGTCACCCTACGCGGCAGCGTGATGATCGACGGACCGCCGCCACAGAACGGCAGCGGCCCTCTGCGCTCGGCCTCGTTGCTGGACCGAATCACGCTGAGGGGCGGTCGCATGACCGGCGGCCTGTTCTCTGTCGTATTCAACGCGCTGGCCGCCCACTTCGGCTTCGAGTACACGATCGAACCGTTCTTCATGACGCCAGGAGGGCCAGGCTGGGAGCAGGGCATTGCCGAGCTGGAAACGGGACGGCATGACGTCATTGCGCGCGACCTCTGGTACACAATCAATAATTGGAAGCGGTTCAACCTCATGCTCCCGCTCGTTGACGTGCATGCCAGCATCATCATAAAAAAGCCTGTCGTTGGCGATTATGCGTTCAACGTCCTTTCGCCCTTCTCGGGTGCTGTCTGGATGACGGTCGGCGCGCTGGCCGCGGCTCTCAGCGCTCTGTTCTGGCTGACGGACCGCATTGACGAGCGGGCGGCGGCCGCCCCGCGACGCGGGCGTCTGGCCGGTGGTGCCGGCCGGGTGGGCCCGCCGCCACCGCGGCCGGGGGCAGCGGACGGAGCGGCCAGCGCGCTGCTCGTGCTCGGCACGATCGGCCGACTGAGCGTGCCGTACCGGCCGCGGTCGTGCGCCGCCGCGCTGCTGTACCTCACGGCCAGCGCGCTGGCGCTGATCGGCGGCAGCTGCTACTCCGCCGTCCTCCTCAGCCACATGGCCGTGCGCAGCGCGGAGCCGCCCTTCGCCTCGCTGCGCGCCGCCGCCGAGCGCAACTGGACCTTTCTCTACGACTCTGCTGGCTGCTTCACGGACTTCTTCGGGCAGCCGGGGTTGACGGGCAGCGCGGCCGCCTTTGCGGCGCGCGGCCAGCCCCACATGTCGCTGTCGGAGACCGAGCTGAGCCGGCGTCTGGACCGAATGGTCGGTGCGGCCGGACGTCACGCCGTCGTCACTCACAAGGGTGTGCTCGCCGCGCGCCCCGGCTGCGAGGCACCCGACGGCTGCACCCTCTGCGTCTGGCCCGAACGCCTTTTCCTCGCGCACAGCTCCATGGCGTTCAGCAAGCACTTTCGCTACGTCCGCCAGGTCAACTGGTACGTGCTGCGCATGCGCGAGACTGGTGTGCTAGCTCGCGAGGTGCGGCGAGCCTGGGGGATCGCAGACCAGAGCCTGGCTTGTGAGATAGGCGACAGGCACCCGGTGAAACTGCGGCTTGGGCTTCGGGGCGCGGCACCCATTTTTCAGTTGCTCTGCGGCGGCGTGGCCCTCTCCTTGCTAGTGCTCACCGCTGAGATCATATGCGCACGATGCTACCCGCGTTAGGGGTATGTCGGTCATGCACAACAGCCGCTGCATGGTCACGGCGTTTTGCTGGGATTGCAATGGATACACGGCTTGGGCTGTGATAATGGAAGCAGACATGTAGGTTTTTCTGTGGCAAATGCGCTAACTAGAAAGCGATGGTGTCGTTTGATAAGTTATCTATGTGGTTATCGCCCTCAGTGGGCGCTTTCTGAAAATGTCTATCTACGAAAAGACGTGTCGCCTGTCATGTAAGCAAGGCCAATGAATGTTTCTGGCAGTATTGCTGTATTCGTGGTATAAACTACGAGCACACGCACCTACACACCGGAACGAATAAAGTTTATTTGCGACTGCGCACTCACTCGAGGAATCGTAGCTCGAAGTACTTCTAAATGTTTTATTTACGAACTGTGCGAGGCATTCAGAATATTGGAGATGGCCGCTCGCAACACCACCGCCACACGTGCAGAAAATGTGCCAGTACCGGTGCCTGGGCCAGGCGTGCAGCCAATGTCGGGCATGATGCATGGTACAAAATTTGCCGAATCTCTTCAGCTACTTAACTAGATACAAAACAAACCACTCATCCGATGACCACAACATGACGCATACCTTGAACATTTGGGCGTTGTGAAAGCGATTCCAACACGAGAGACAATGCCGGTTATCAATTGCCGCTCTCATAATTTTTACAGCCGTCACCCGGACAAGGCGCCATAAATTTCGGCGGCGTGGCGGCCCGCCGGTCCAGCATAAAGCCACGAGTTTGCAGATGATCTTCTAACATTCAAATGCATCGCAAGAGCGTTCGGCGCGCAAAGGTCACCCCTTCATGAGATTCAAGTGCAATAGGGCCGGGTACCGGAATCCGCCGCAGGTGCGTCTCGTCACGCGCCACGGGGTTTGTTGATATGTATGTATGTATCTCTTGGTCTGGCGCGAAACACTTGCGGGATCGATTCAGAGGAAATCGCGCAAAAACTGCTGCACAGCATGAAACGCCGAGTAAACGCCACGATGTGTGTGCCTGTTCTGGCCTGACCTGGGGCGGTGGACCCAGTTCCCCCTGGGGCACGCGAGATGTCCCGAGTCGTGGCCCCAGGTCAGGTCAGGGATGCGACGCCAGTCTCAAGGCAATGCTGTGGCGGTGGGAATGCGGGGCGTAACCTTTACCGTAACACTGATGTTTCCTTCAAACTATGCGTGCTGGTAAGCGGCCATCTTTTTTAGACCGCATGAGCCATGACGTGATCTTGGAGATTTTGGCCTCAAATCGGTGAGGGTAATTACAGGCCGTAGCTAAATTATCGCCTATCAGTCAGCATCATTGCTCAGTTCTGCTCTGCGCAGACCAAGTCACTGATTTAGGCGCTTTACGGATTCTTGTAGGAACATTAGCGTTGACGACAAATGCACATCATCACAAGGAAACAGTTCACACAGTTAACTCACTGCGCCCACTGCACTGGATGACACAGAACACCGCGCAAAATGAACGCATCTAACCTAGAAAAGCGGCACTGCGCAAGGATCACCTGTAGATCGAGCGCGCATGCGCGACCACCGCAGTCCCGATGATTTGATTTCGCCGCCGGAGTCGACACTGCACTCATGTTTTTTACTGACTAGGCACGTGCCAATGGTTTGAACAGTCGCTCCGCGCGCCTCCGAGCCCCGTAAGTGGCGCTCAGGTGCTCGCGCGGGGCAGCGGCACTGGAAAATCAGGCTTCAGCGCGCGACCGAAGCGACTGTAGCCGCGGCCCAGGCCCAGCTCGTGCGCGCCGCAGCCGCGGCCGTAGCCCAGCTCCTGTGGACTGGCGTAGATGACGTCCCCGGCCGGCGGCGGCGCGCTGACCGGACGGAGCTGGGCCGCCCAGCGGCTGCGCTTCAGCCGGTACAGGCCCAGCCCGCCCAGCACGAGGCCCAGCTGGGCCAGCGCCACCGTGATCGCCACAGCCACCACTGTCGAGCGCGGCGTACAGATGGCGTCCTGTGGCGGCGGAAGGCGGGGCACGGCTGGAACAGAGGTACGGTAGCGTCAGACGACGGCGAACGGGCCTCTGGTGATGGCGGGAGCAGAAGTGGGGGAGTGGGGACACCGGGGGGCGGGGATCGGCTGGAACAGAGGTACGGTAGCGTCAGACGACGGTGAACGGGCCTCTGGTGATGGCGAGAGCAGAAGTGGGGGAGTGGGGATACCGGGGGGGGGGGGGGGGGGCGGCACGGCTGGAACAGAGGTACGGCAGCGTCAGACGACGGTGAACGGACCCCTGGTGATGGCGAGAGCAGAAGTGGGGGAGTGGGGACACCGGGAGGCGGGGATCGGCTGGAACAGAGGTACGGCAGCGTCAGACGACGGTGAACGGGCCTCTGGTGATGGCGGGAGCAGAAGTGGGGGAGTGGGGACACCGGGAGGCGGGGCACGGCTGGAACAGAGGTACGGCAGCGTCAGACGATGGTGAACGGACCTCTGGTGATGGCGGGAGCAGAAGTGGGGGAGTGGGGACACCGGGAGGCGGGGCACGGCTGGAACAGAGGTACGGCAGCGTCAGACGACGGTGAACGGGCCTCTGGTGATGGCGGGAGCAGAAGTGGGGGAGTGGGGATACCGGGGGGCGCGGCACGGCTGGAACAGGGCACGACAGGTGTAGATGCTCAGATGGGAGCAATGCTGGAAAGAGACTGGCTGTCAAAGCACGAATACAAACAAAGGGGGTCATGCGCTGAGCTATGGAATGGGTGTGTCGGTGGCTGTGCGAAAGGAAAAAAATTGAACTAAAGTCTAGATATCGTGTTTTTTCTTCTCTTCGGCGTGAGGCGTGATGTGTCGTCCGAAGACCGCTTAGCTGTGCGGAACCGCGTGCTGATGAATAAAAATCACTAAAATATAAATCACCATGAATAAAGTCTTCATGCCCTTACGTGATGCAAAACACGATTCATTAAACTGATTGACGTCAGTATTGAGCATTGGCACCCTTGCATAAATTATATCTGCATCGATGAAAGACATCGCAGCAGGATAAAGGTGGATGCCGCCTCACCTTCTGTCTGATAGGCATGACGACTCTGCCAGTTGTGCCCGAACACGACGTCGTACTTCTGCGGCTCCACCGCCTCCTCTTCTTCCTCCATCATCAGCCGCACCTTCTCAGACGAGATATCCGGTCCCACCAGCAGCTGGAGGCACGCGTGACGCCGGTCACGGTCAGGTGACGCACCCGAGGTGCGATTAGGAGCGGGAAGTGGTGGCCGGACAGCCACTGACGGTGCGATCAGGAGCGGGAAGTAATGGCCGGACAGCCACTGATGGTGCGATCAGGAGGGACAGCCACCGACGGTGCGATCAGGAGCGGGAAGTAATGGCCGGACAGCCACTGATGGTGCGATCAGGAGGGACAGCCACCGACGGTGCGATCAGGAGCGGGAAGTGATGGACAGACAGCCACTGATGGTGCCATCAGGAGGGACAGCCAATGACGGTGCGATCAGGAGCGGGAAGTAAGGACCGGACAGCCACTGATGGTGCGATGAGGAGCGTGAAGTGATGACCGGACAGACACCGATGGTGCGATCAGGAGCGGGAAGTAATGGCCGGACAGCCACTGATGGTGCGATCAGGAGGGACAGCACCGACGGTGCGATCAGGAGCGGGAAGTGATGACCAGACAGCCACTGATGGTGCCATCAGGAGGGACAGCCAATGACGGTGCGATCACTGATGGCTCGTTGAGGAACGGGACGTGTTGATCAAACAGACACTAATGGTGCGAGAGGAGCGGGAAGTGATGACCGGGCGGCCGCTGATGGCGCGTTGAGTAGCGGGACGTATTGATCAGACACTGACGGTGCACTGACGAACGGCAAGTGATGATCAAACAGACACTGATGGTGTGTTGAGGAGCGGGAAGTGATGACCGGGCAGCCACTGGTCCCGGCCATGGGCGTCTGGTGATGAGCGGCGTTAGCTGATGTGTTTATGGATTACTGACGTCCTGATTTCAAGGGTTTGTTTCGCGTTTGCTGCAGCAATCGCTCCCAGCCGCTCCCTGAAATCAGGCGTTGTATGTAACAGGACAGACAGCGGAGTCCCCACCGCCTACTCACGGAGGTGGTGAGCGGCAAAGCCACAGGCAGCAGACTACCAGGCGTGGCGATCATGGCAGGGTGCGGCGCGGCCTCGACCGCCTCCTCCGAGGAAGGCTGGGGAGGTCGCCCACTCCCGGAGAGGACAGCGGCAACCCGCGGTGCCGCCGGCGCCTCGTCCTCCTCCAGCGGGTCCTCCGTGGGCGACTCCGGCCCGTCCTCCGGCGTCGCGCTCCTCTCGGAGGAAGAGGCGGTTGCCATCTCAGGCAGCGGCGTCACGGGGATGGGTGTGGAGGACGAGCTGGGCTCGGGGCGATCTGAGGAGGACATTCACGCCTAGTGATGGTGTCCGGGCAAGCGATTGCAATCACAAGAGGGAAGTTCTCGATTATTAAGCCGACCACAAGATGGGCACTGTTCGTAGCCGTCCGGGTGACCGAGCTACATACGCGTGGTACACGGGTGCGACGCATGGAAATTGAAATGCGTTTCAGAGTCGATGCAGCGGCCCGCTTTCATCACGTCAACCAGCTCATCAGATAAACTCTCGCAGCTCATCAGATAGACCCTCGTAGCTCATCAGATAGACCGCCGCAGCTCATCAGATATACCCCCGCAGCTCATCAGATAGACCCTCGTAGCTCATCAGATTGACTCTAGCAGCTCATCAGATAGACCCTTGTAGCTCCTCAGATAGACCCTCGTAACTCATCAAATAGACCCTAGCAGCTCATCAATAGACCATCGCAGCTCATCAGATAGACCCTCGTAGCTCATCAGATAGACCCTCGTAACTCATCAAATAGACCCTCGCAGCTCATCAGATGAACCGCTGCAGCTCATCACATAAACCTTTGGTGAGATTTCTAATCGCACAATCTTTTCGTACATGCACCCGTATAGCGCTCGCGAATAAGGCCGGTCAGCCGCCTGAGGCAAACACCCACCTGCGGTCGTCTGCTTAGTGGAGGGGCTAGCGGCGCTGGTCGGAACGCTGGTCGGCACGGTGGTCGGCACGGTGGTCGGCACGGTGGTCGGAGCCCTCAGCGTGACGCGGTTGTTGAGGCTGATCGGCAGATCGATAGGTACTTGAGCAGCAGCAATCGTCAGATCCATGGGTACCTCAGCGGTGGCGGCCGAGCTGGCGGGTTTCTTCTCCGCGACGTCCTCCGCTCCGGTCTCGTTCAGCGAGCGGCGGCGACGGCCGTACGAGTTGCCCGAGGGGCAGCGCGCCTGTAAACGCGCTGCTCTCAACACGGCGCCTCCACTTGCAGCGGGCTCCGAAATGAGGACACTTTAGTGGGGATTTCAAACCTGTTCTGGACCGTTTCCAAGCATTTATCCAAGCTGAGTGGCCGGAGAGTTCCCGGCTGCCTATTGCGATTGCGCGCTGCAAAATGATTTCCCCAATCAAATCCCTTATGTGACGGTTGGGGAAGCTCGGTAAAGCACCCAATTTCCAAAAGTGATTGTCAATATGCAGTTGCTCGATCGACGAAATCTTGGAAAACCTCAACCATTCCCGGAGCCGGTTGAGGACAACTGAGATTTCTCAAGCTTTCCCAAACTTTCCCAACCTTTCCCCAAACAAATTGCTGTCTGACGAACTGTCCCCTACCGGCGGACACTCGTCCTGGCAGAACTGCACGGTGGCGAAGAAGTTGACCCGCGCCGTGCTGGGGAAGCGGAACGCCTTGAAGTTAGCCATCAGGTTCTTGGACTCCCTGTCGATCTCCAGGGCCGGGAAGATGCTCGCGTCCCGAGGACATCTGAAATCATCGATGCAGATAGCACGTTAGTTGTGCGTTTCATTACAGCAAGAACGCAAAAACCAATCTCAAACAACGAGAGCATTGCTTGATTTCCGGCTTATTTAGTTACGAGGTCGTCGAAATGGATAAATGCATCATTGTGCACTAAAATCTGAAATGCACCAAAAAAGGAAAAAAGACACTAAAAGGGCATTAGAGATAGACTTCTCAAAAAGCACACGTAATGCTGGTTGCCTTCCACTGAATAATTGTCCTGTGCCGAGATTAAAGCGGTCCATCGAATTCGAAGCGGCTCGGCCGACCAATAGCACAAAACACCGCAACAGCGCACAAACATGCGCTGAACCCAAACCAGCTGATAGCTAACCATAAGTGGCTCCGCTGAGCAATAACACAAACACCGCAACAGCGCACAAACATCTGCTGAACCCAAACCAGCTGGGAGCTAACCATAAGCGGCTCCGCCGAGCAATAACACAAACACCGCAACAGCGCACAAACATCTGCTGAACCCAAACCAGCTGAGAGCTAATCAGACGTCGGGCGCTGCTCAGTGGCGGCTGCCCCCTCACCCCTGGTCGTCGATGAGCGCGAGCAGCTCTCCGTTGTCGGTGCGCGCCTCGACGCCCTTGCCGAGGATACCGAAGGCGCTGCCCGGGTCGGCGACGATCATGAAGGTCAGCTCCTCACCCAGGCTGACCTCGCTCGTGTCGCGACCCTGGCGTCCGACGATTCGGAGACTAACACTAGGGGTCGGCGCAGTGTTCGTAACCACCGAAGTACCCACGGGCCGAAAGGGCGCGCTGAAACGGAACAAGGTGGGGATGAGAGGGTAAGCGGTGGTGTCGGCGGGATGGTGATGCGAACCCAGAATAGACAGCGCCGGTGAACTCTAAACATGCTGTGGCTGATCATAAAGGTAATGACTGACTCCAGTAAATCACGAGATTCATGTGGATGTTGCGATTTACCATGTAGTGGCTAAGTACTAGGATGACCCTCTTATAGATGTTGATGTTCCCTGCTTGTCAATTCACCCCACTGCTCCATGAATAGTCAATGTACTCTGTTTGCGTAAGCTTGCACTTTCACACCGCGCCAGACACCAAATAATTGCTGCAAAACATCCACACTCCCGTCCGGCAGCCGTCGCAGTCCCGTGACTGTGGACCGAGCGTCACGACGTGACGCCCGGCGTCGGGCCGAGCGTCGTGACGTGACGCTTGGCGCCGGACGCGGCGTCGTGACGTGACGCCCGGCGTCCTGACCCAGCGTCGTAACGTGACGCCCGGCGTCGGGCCCAGCGCCGTGACGTGACGCCCGGCGTCGGGCCGAGCGTCGAGACGTGATGCCGGGCGTCGGGCCGAGCGGGCCGTGACTCACTTGACGTCGACGCCGCCGCCTTCAGTGAAGCGGTTGCCGGTGGGCGCGAGAGTCACCGTCTGGTCGTTGGCGTCGAACGTGCACTCCACCCGCACGGTCTTGTCCGACTCCTGCATGATGGTCGGGTGCTGCTGGATCACCACGTGGTTCACGTACCGGCCGCGACCCTGCGGCGGCGTGGCACAGGCAAGAGGTCAGCGGCGAACGGGGGGAGTGTGCGCGTGCTGGCCCGTCGGTGGCGTTGGGGACACGACCGAGGTAACTGCAGCAATGAAGGAGAAATCAGGCAGAAGAGGCGGCCAAAAAGGGACGCCATTCTATGGTGTCAACTTAGCTAGTTATTAGGTGTCAAGGGCGCGTCAACTGCAATGGTAATTTGTCTGATGTTAAAAAGATGTCAAAAAGTTGCACATGGTGTCACAAAGACCACACTGGCTTATACTCTTCGTTGCTAGAACATACCATTCCATTTCCACGCTTGCATTATTTGAAAGAGTGCTTTATTTGATCAGGCACCAAATCTGACATGCACGGAACAGGTATGCGCTGAACAGGAGGAAAATGAAAGGAATTTCAAGTCCGCAGAGATGGCAGGCACGTTTTACGTTACAAGCGTTTCGTCTCGGCGAGCAATCCCGTTTCGAATCATTTCGAGTGGTATAACGCGGTCCTACAACAATGCGATTCTGGCATTGACGAGCTAATCTCAACACCCTTGGCAACACCAAGGTGAAAAAAGCACGCATGGGGGAGAGAACTGCAAAACACAGCCTTTTTTTACTATCCCTTCGGCATCCGCACAAGTCTCCGCAGGGCTCATCAAAGATGAGGCTCTCAGCAACAGCACACTAGCAAGCTACACCCCGCTGTCGCGTGCGGACGCCACCGACCTCCTCAACGGTGCCACAGCGGCTGCCCAACGGGATGGAGAGCAGCACAGTCTGTCGGCCGTTGCCCATGTCGAAGCAGGCCTGCGCGTTGCCCGTGGCGTACACTCGGCCTTCGAAACGGCTCCCGAAGCTGAAGGTGACTTGCATGTCGTTCTTGCTGCACTCCACCTGAACTGTGGTGCGGGAGAGGTGTCGGTGGTGAGGCTAGGGCGACAGCGAGCGCCGCTGTTGAAGACGGCCGGCGCTTGAGGATGTGTGGGCAGCTCGCTCATCATTGGTCCTAGATGACGTCGGGTTTGTCGGCGATTGGTGATACGCCATCAGAGAATGTGGGCAGCTGTGGGGTGACCTATCGCGGATCAGATGCTGATACTACCACCATTACTTACTGAGACACTGCAGAGGTAAAGGAGTATGTATCTATGGGCGGGTATAGAGGGCACGCGATGCAGAGAACTACACATTACACAACCGACACCGCTATTAATAGTCCGCTTTCGACCGACAGACAAACTGAGCAGGCACTGAAAGTCGTTACGCCAAGTCCACGACATGCCACAGAAGGCAGAGGCTCCGAGCATGCTGAGAAGTCGGGAGGGAGGTAGAGGGAGAGAGAGAGACGGAGTACATCATGCCGTCTAGCGACCGCCGACTGCCAGCCGTCCATCGCCTCCTCCCGACCAGTCAAGCGGCATAAGAGGCGCTACCTTTCTCCGACGAGAGGGTTTTCTCCGAAGAGGGACATCCAAGTCTCTACTGTGAAAGAGGTTAGAGCTGATACGTTGTCAACCAGATAGGAAATGTGGTGCCATCTCGCACAAAGATGTGAGAAATTTCTATCTGCGATAAACAGTATACATAATTGCCCGGCATGAAATGCTTCAGACGTTGTGTAAAGTTGACTTTCGTGCATCTTACAATGCTTACAATTCAGTTTTGTGGAAGTTGATTGATATTATTAGCACAGCAAAGAAACTGAACATCTGGGTTTAGTGCACTGCAAATGACGCTGTAGAATTAGAGCATATTTTAGTACGCCTCCTCTGGCCCACTGTGCGTGTGCCGCGTGCCTTGCTGTCCTGGTGGGACGTCCTCCGCGGTGCCACTGTACTCCGTCTCTCTCTGATCCGGGTGTGGTCCGGTTTTCGTCAGGCCCGGCTTGGGAGCCTCTGCCAGCTGGAGCTGGTCAGACTCGATAGTCTCTGCCTGCTCCGGTCTGTCGGTTCCGGAAGCCTCTTCTTGCTCCAGCCTGCCGGGTTCGGGAGCCTCTCCCAGTCCCAGAAAGCCGGGTTGGGGAGCCTCTCCCAGCCCCAGCAAGCCGGGTTCGGGAGTCTCCCCCAGTCCCAGCAAGCCGGGTTGGGGAGCCTCTCCCAGTCCCAGCAAGCCGGGTTGAGGAACCTCTCCCAGCCCCAGCAAGCCGGGTTCGGGGGCCTCTCCCAGCCCCAGCAAGCCGGGTTGGGTAGTCTCTCCCAGCCCCAGCAAGCCGGGTTGGGGAGCCTCCCTCAGACCCTGCAAGCCGGGTTCGGGAGCCTCTCCCAGCCCCAGCAAGCCGGGTTCGGGAGCCTCTCCCAACCCCAGAAAGCCGGGTTGGGGAGCCTCTCCCAGCCCCAGCAAGCTGGGTTGGGGAGTCTCTCCCAGCCCCAGCAAGCCGGGTTCGGGAGCCTCCCTCAGCCCCAGCAAGCCGGGTTCGGAAGTCTCTTCCCAGCCCCAGCAAGCCGGGTTGGAGAGTCTCTCCCAGCCCCAGAAAGCCGGGTTGGAGAGCCTCTCCCATCCCCAGCAAGCCGGGTTGGGGAGTCTCTCCCAACCCCAGCAAGCCGGGTTCGGGAGCCTCTCCCAGTCCCAGAAAGCCAGGTTGGGGAGTCTCTCCCAGCCCCAGAAAGCCGGGTTTCGGGAGCCTCTCCCAGCCCCAGCAAGCCCGGGTTCGAGAGACTCTTCCTGCTCCAGCCTGCCGGGTTTGGAAGTCTCTCTCCGACGGTCGGAGGGCAGTGCCGGTGTCTCCGTTGCGACCGGTCAGCAGGGCTTACCGGTGCGGCAGACGCTCCGCTCGCTGAACACGCTCTCCACGTCGGCCACGAGCGCCCGCTCGCCAGACTGCCCGTGTCGTCACTGCTGAGCGTGCACTCCCGCCGCCGGTCGTTGTAGTTGTAGCTGCGGCACCTGAGGTCGAGGAGATCGTGAGAGGCTGGGCGCAGACCCGCCGCGGCAGAGAAAACAGAGCAGAGAAGGTGAGGAGGGGCACATGGTGTAGGGAAACTCCGGCGGTGACCGAGAACACCCGTTTCGGTTGTGGGCCCATAGTGCTGACGTTAAAAAAATTTGGGCGAGCTAGGTGCAGACAGCTTAACCTGAGACCTTGGGAGGCATCGCGCATTTGAAAACACTGTTACAGCTGAGGTGAATATGGCTCTGACAACGATGTTCGGAGGCGAGTACGTGGCCTCCAATGGCAAAATTTGGCCTCGTGAAACGCAGACCTCTTTCGTTCTCTGTCCACTACTCTCACCTAACACCTCAATGAACAGCTCACATCACAGTTCGCACCTTCAACTTACCTTACCAACCGTGGCCTTGGGACAATTGGCCCTCCAGTGCGTACCTCGTGCCACGTGGCCCCCTAACGCGCTGCGTACATGGTGATGGTCGCGCGACCAACACGCTACGCTGCGGTCTTTCGGACTGCCGTCTGCTTACTTGAAGTCGAGCTCCACGTCACAGCTGCGCATACACTCGGCTTTGTTGGCGACCCGCGCGATCATGCGGTCCACGAAGGGCAGGAACCGGCTCTCAACATCCCGGTACTCGCAGTTGGGCGGGTCTGGAACGGAGAGCCTCCACTGTACAGGACCGCCATCCGCCGCCAGACGGCGAGGCGCGTCGCGCTCACCGGGAGGTCATCGGAGGGAACACACGGCTGTGCCCTACAGTCAGGCGGGCGGCGCAGCAGCCACCTACGGACTCGGCTACCCAAGCCCGGTGACCTCGGTTATTCAATGCCAGCACTGGTCAGCAGTGGTCGCCATCGCAGCGATGAAGGAGCGCCCGGGCACGACCGTCGACGATCAGCACCGCCTGGGCACGACGCCGACGATCAGCACCGCCCGGGCACGATCGCCGACGATCAGCACCGCCCGGGCACGACCGCCGACGATCAGCACCGCCTGGGCACGACCGCCGACGATCAGCACCGCCTGGGCACGACCGCCGACGATCAGCACCGCCTGGGCGCGACCGCCGACGGTCAGCACCGCCCGGGCACGACCGCTAACGATCAACACCGCCCGGGCACGACCGCCGACGATCAGCACCGCCCGGGCACGACCGCCGACGATCAGCACCGCCTGGGCACGACCGCCGACGATCAGCACCGCCCGGGCACGACCGCCGACGATCAACACCGCCCGGGCACGACCGCCGACGATCAGCACCGCCTGGGCACGACCGCCGACGATCAACACCGCCCGGGCACGACCCGCCGACGATCAGCACCGCCTGGGCACGGCCGCCGACGATCAGCACCGCCTGGGCACGATCGCCGACGATCAGCACCGCCTGGGCACGACCGCACACGATCAGCACCGCCTGGAGCGTGAATGGAGCGCGCGACAGCTTACCGGGTGCACACTGGTTCTCCAGGTATTCGACGTCGGCGTCGTACACAAACTCGGAGGGCTGGGTGCGGCGGGTCTGGGTTGACAGGGCGCACGTTTGCTCGCGGACATTGTACTCAGCCGATCTGAAACGCGACAGGTCAGCAGGCGCTCGGGCGGCCGCTCAGGCTTCAACTTCTGTCACCGCTCTTTCACCGCGCGTGCGAAAACTGAGTGCGTTCCGGCAATAGAAATCGCTGCCTATCTTAATGCTTGGATCATGCGCTAGGGTCACCTAGTGGCTCTTAGAGGCATGGACGGCATGCCTGGGCTGAATGGGGGCATAGGGCGCTCGCAAAGGTGCTCAATGCCTTGCCTCCCTACATCCAGACTTAGCTAACCAGACAACACCCTATTATGGACACTGTTGAAGCCTTGCTTACACAAAGGTGTGACGCCAGCAAAGTGTCATCAGGCAGTTCCATACATCGAGAAGTTCCGATGACATCAGCTCCCGTGTATGTTGAAATACTGACCGGCACGGCATGCGAATGTTCTGCAGACAGAGCGTCTCGCACATCTCCTTGTTCCTGACGCGAGGGATCACCAGATCGTCGTGACCTTCGATCACGTAGTTCGGCACGCGCTCGAAGGTCCAGCCCTTGCCGCAGGTGCGCTCTGTGGGAACGCCGACCTTGAGTGCGGATGACCGACACATGCTAAGTGCTTCCAGCGTCTCCAGTTTAAGACCAAGGCATATCGTCCTGTCTTGATGCAGGCTTGCACGAAGCCTGCCAAGCTCCAGCACAGTTCCCAGCGTGGGCACGTCGCCACCCCCGGGTGGAACTCATCTGAAACAAATATTTACAAAGCCGGCGTCCTACGAGCGACTGTTTGTAAAACCCACTGTCAAGACAACCCCCCCCCCTCCCCCCCCTCCCCCTCCCACACACACTTGGCTCACCTTCGATGCAGACTTTCTCGAAGTAGGACATGCCGTCGGCGACGCTGAGCGTGCCGCCATCTTGGCCGGCCGAGGTCTCCAGGCCGTAGCAGCGCTCGCCCTGCTCGCCGTACTCCAGACTGATGCCCAGGCAGCGACGATTCCGCTCGCACTGAGGGGAGCGCCGGCCGTCGCCGTCAGCACGCTGCGCACCTCCCAAGACCGCCAGAGTATCGACAAACTGCGGCCAGTCGGCCGATCGGCCCGGGGGATCACCCGCGGGCATCCAATGTCCAGCTCTGCGGACAGTGCTGCAGACTGCAGTGCAGCAGCTGACGAAGCTGCCTTCCTTACTCAGGGTCTCATGGCACTAAAGGCGCATGACACTACGTGTTTTCCGTCGGACTGTAGCTCATGCAAGTCTACGGGAAGCAGCATGATAATCGCGGTTATCTTACGGAACGCGGGATTGAAGCAACCATTGCTTTAGAAAACAGGATGCTCTAACTGGTGACGTATGCAACTCATTACCGCACTCACTGCACACTCCACATCAGCGGCCTGGCAAGCCCAACGCTTCAGTTGGTCAACACCCTGGGTTACCGTCCTCCCGCGCCCAGCGCTTCAGTCGGTCAACACCCTGGGCCACCGTCGTCCCGTGCAGTGCTCCTCACCTGTAGCAGGCAGGGCACGGTGACGCCGCGGCCGCGGCCGCGTGCCTCGATCTCGAAGCGGCGAGCCGGCCGGTACTCGACGTTGAGCACCTTCTCGTAGGTGGGAGTGACGCGGCAGCGCTGGATGTCGGGCGACCGGCGGCCGCCGGTGTCCACCTCGTTGCCGCCTGTTGTGGTTGAGTCGTCGTCTTACATAAGGGTGACGGCCCGAGGGAATGTTAGTCGGCAGTGGCGCGGCTCTGGTGGTCTAGGCGGTCAAGCCAGGTCCCACGGCACAAGCGGGTAGAGTGAGGCTAAGGATTTGCTCGTGCAGATGGCTGGTTCGCCCGTTTTCTCCAGACGTGCCCGACACGGCAGAACCACGACTGGAATGTCGGCGTAACCACGACTCTCACAGGTGAGCCTCGCCTGCCATCCGCCCACCTCTCGCGCCCAGCCCCGCTGAGGCAGTCGAATGTCACTGCCAAGCCAATGCACACACAACGCACCCGCCACCTGGCGGACACCTCACAGCATCACAAGCAGGGTCAGATCTCGCGAATACAACCGTATGGGGAACTGGCATGAGTGTGGTTTAATCGTATGTATATTCTTGATGATGTGAAAGCCCTTAGTGTATGGACTTGCCAGCTGTCTACTGCCAGTTCTCGGGCATTAGCCTCCCGTTTGCAGCTGTAAGTGAAGTGCAGCGGATAATATTGCCAAGTGCTCCGAGTGCCTTACACAATAACTTGTACATTTCGGTGTATCCACCTCACTGATATGGCCGTGTGGACAACATCATGTCCAATCGGATCATGGGTGCTGCCCCAGGCACTCAGGCTCATGCGTGAGTTTTAGATTTCCCTGAACTATACTGCCGCAAACGTCAAGAGTCGATGGGGCCACTGACCTGCAAACTTACTGGTGTCTTGGAAACCAGTAGCGCAAGAGGACCTTTAGACTAACAAAGACAATGCTCATAAGCAAACGCTATCATTATTGACAGCTGTGTGCTTAGCTTCCCTGTGACCTGCCTTCATACCTGGATCGGGGCGGCCACCCGAGCCCGGCCTCCCGCCACTGTCGGGCCTTCCGCCGCTGCCGGGCCTTCCCCCGCTGCCGGGCCTTCCCCCGCTGCCGGGTCTTCCCCCGCCGCCAGGACGTCCCCCGCTGTCGGGTCTTCCTCCAGTGCCGGGTCTTCCTCCGCTGTCGGGCCGTCCCCCGCTGCCGGGTCTTCCCCCAGTGCCGGGTCTTCCCCCGCTGTCGGGCCGTCCTCCGCCGTCCGGCCTTCCGGACGCCCGGTCTTGGCAGATGCGCTCGGCGTACAGGGCGCCATCCAGGAACTGCACCCCGCTGCGATCCAGGTCGTTGGCACGCACCCCAGACAGCAAGCACGAGGCTTGCCGGTCCCGGCCCTGCAGATAACGCCGCGCGTGAGGCCGGTCACAGGTCGTCGCGAATGACCTCCGCTCGGGTAGTGGCGTGCCGTTTGGACGACAGTGGCATGTTAACTACAATGCACATCACTTACAGCCAATGTGGAAGTGTTCAGAGGTATGGTGCTTGTTGGACAGTGAGCAGTGCATCGCAGTTAGGAGCTTGTACGGAATATAAATCTACAGTCATTTTCGCTAGGCCTCGCCGGATGTAACCAGGCAGTCTTAATATGAGCTAATAAATCAGAGATACCAAGCTGGTAAGACGGATCCCTGGTCCTGGCAGAGCCATGAAAGAATAAGGAGCGTCCCAGCGCACGTGCCATCACTGACCGTGGCGAGGAAGGAGTAGGAGGCGCAGTTGAAGTCGCGCTCGCGGTCGCAGGCCTCGCGGCATCGCGAGTCGCTGAACTCGGACACCGCCTTGTGCGTGTACACCAGGAACACGTCGCGGTCCTCGTTCCGGTACGAGCACTCTCGGAACTCTGCAAGCGATGGCGAGAGGCGTCAGGTTGATGCGGTCCAAGCCGCGTGAAGGAGACACCGGTGCTGCCGGCGGCCGTCCTACCGCCCACATCGAAAGGGAGCTGTTCGTCTGACTGGAACTCGCATCGCTCGTCTGGAGCAATACACCCCTGCGCCCCACACACGGCGTTACACAGACATGCGCGTTGTTCTGTGCCCTGTTTGGCATCGCAGCTCTGGTGGTGAGCACATGGCACGCCCGTGCCGTGTTGCTCACCCCTGGCGCACTGGTTCTCGAAGTAGTCCCTGCCGTTGGTGCGCCTCAGCGCTCGGGGAGCGCTCTGTCTGTTCTCGCGACTCAGCAGGCACAGCCGTTCTCTGTAGTCGTACGTGACGGATCTGGCAGGCAGGGCAGCGCGTCAGTACACAGCACCACATCACTCACAGCTTGTACCTCGAGGTTTACATGTGCGTTGAAGGGCACCGCCTGTGTTTCAGAATTACGTTACGCATATGTCAGAAAACAATGCGTGACAATGTTGGGAGCACAGTAGGACATGTTGATGCGTGTCGGCAAAAAGTAACTGCACTGACCTGCAGTCAAATCTGGTCTCCTGCAGACACTCGTCCTGGCACTCGAGCTTGGTGACGTCACGGACTAGCCTGTCCTCCCGCACGGACAGCTCGGCGTTCACCAGTCGCTCAAATGTGTACAGTTTGCCGCACCCCCGACCTATCGGCAAATTTGGAGACCGCTGCTGACAGCTGCTCTGACGAACGTGGCGGTTTGGACAGCGCTTATTACCGTTGGTTAGTTGCAGAGTGGATGTCAGTATTGCGAACGCTTCTCTGCAAGGGGTGAAGGTCGTGATTAATGCAGCGTTAGCGTCCACCCCTGCAGCCCATTCCCAATAGGTTAGAGCCCCTGCCTCCTGACCTGTACGTGGCGGAGTGTGTGGGTTCGAGTTGCCTCGGTGCTGGCTATTTGCCACAGGCTTCAATGGCCTGTGGCTTTGACCCTTCGGGCGATTCAAATGTTTTGACTATTTTGCTTTAGTGTAGAATTTGGTTGCTCTGATGTCAGTGGCATGGAGCCACATCGAATTCTTCTCGTTCGGATAATCTACACCCACTCCAGCTCCGTGGATAACGACAATTAAGGGCGCTGGACTCACACCAAAAAGTTCTGCATCGCGGTATTCTGGAAAATGCTCTGAAAAACACCAACTGACGTTGATACCCAAACAGTGAACTCAGCCAGCAACCACAGCCGTGATCAAACACGCATAACCTTGCACTTTAACCAAGTGCATGGTCGAAAAACGCATCCACACCAGCAGGCGGCACTCGCCCCGAACGCGCCGCTGGGCGGTCGCCGTGCTCACTTCTGGGGCAGATCTTCTGCATGAAGCTGACGCCGGGCGTGTCGGTGAGGTCGCGGGGGTCGACCTCGATGTTCTCGCGCAGCTCGAGGGCCGAACAGCGGGCTTCGCGCGCCCGCCGGTCCCGCCCGCGGTGCTCCAGGTTGAAAGCCGAGCAGCGTCGAGACCGGGTGCACCTGAGGTCACCACGAGGGGTGTCACGGCCGGGTGCATCTGAGGTGACCGCGAGAGGGCATTATGGCCGGGTGCACCCGAAGCCATTGCGAGGGGGCGTTACGGCCGGGTGTACCTGAGGTCACCGCGAGGGGGTGTTATGTCCGGGTGCATCTGAGGTCACCGCGAGGGGGCTTCATGGCCGGGTGTACCTGAGGTCACCGCGAGGGGGTGTTATGTCCGGGTGCATCTGAGGTCACCGCGAGGGGGGTGTCACGGCCGGGTGCATCTGAGGTGACCGCGAGAGGGCATTATGGCCGGGTGCACCCGAAGCCATTGCGAGGGGGCGTTACGGCCGGGTGCATCTGAGGTCACCGCGAGAGGGCATTATGGCCGGGTGCACCCGAACCCATTGCGAGGGGGCGTTACGGCCGGGTGTACCTGAGGTCACCGCGAGGGTGCGTTATGTCCGGGTGCATCTGAGGTCACCGCGAGGGGGTGTCACGGCCGGGTGCACCTGAGGTCACCGCGAGGGGGTGTCACGGCCGGGTGCACCTGAGGTCACCGCGAGGGGGCGTTACGGCCGGGTGCATCTGAGGTCACCGCGAGGGGGTGTTATGTCCGGGTGCATCTGAGGTCACCGCGAGGGGGCGTTATGTCCGGGTGCATCTGAGGTCACCGCGAGGGGGTTGCACGGCCGGGTGCACCTGAGGTCACCGCGAGGGGGTGTCACGGCCGGGTGCACCTGAGGTCACCGCGAGGGGGCGTTACGGCCGGGTGCATCTGAGGTCACCGCGAGGGGGTGTTATGTCCGGGTGCATCTGAGGTCACCGCGAGGGGGCGTTATGTCCGGGTGCACTTGAGGTCACCGCGAGGGGGTGTCACGGCCGGGTGCACCCGAGGCCATCGCGAGGGGGCGTTACGGCCGGGTGCACCTGAGGTCACCGCGAGGGGGTGCCCGGCCGGGTGCACTGAAGGTCGAGGGGAAGGGGTGAGATGCAGCTCTGAGCATGGCGCGTGAAGGCCAAGATAACGGGGATGCATTGGGATGAAAATAGGGCTTTAGGCAGGCAGAAGCAGACGACAACGCGCTGAATGTTCTTTAGCAGGGGAAATAAAGCACGCGGCATTAAGTTGGTGGCCTAGGAGCCCCTGGCATGTAATGTGGCACTGAAGTGTGTTACAAAGCGCTGTCCCCTCTCCCCAAAAAATTAAACAGATGAAATACACTACTTTGGATTTAGTACGTAATAACAGCGGCTTATGCTTGGCGAAGTGGCGACTTAGAAAGCAGATGCACCCGTCGAAGCCATAACATGAAACGCGTGGATAGTGCCTGAATTGCCGTTAGTGCCAAGTCATGTTGTACTCACTCCCTGGTGCATTCGGCCATGATGCCGGGGTTGTCGAAGTCCGAGACGAGCTCTGAGCCCCGGATTTGTCGCATCTCCACGCCCGTAATGAGCTCGTACTGGTCACAGTCGATCCCGCCTGTCCCACGGAGGCACCAGAGTCATTCACTGCGAAGGACTATGATGGCGTTTCGGCCACAGCACCACACCATAGTGTGTGTTGACAAGGTTTTCATGCAATTGGCTGACTGGAGCGGTCAGAACACGATATACATAACAGGAAAGGGAATCAGCTGATCATATGCATTCTACGGCTAATCATGAGTATCATTATTTAAGTTGACACCGGTTTCACGGTGCCTGATCTGTGTGCATGAAACCTTCGTGTCACATCTATGCTGTTTGAAAACACACTTGCATCACAAAACGGAATCGGAAAAAGATGGATGAGCATCGAAAAGAGGCGAGTTGCATAGCTGCATACACGAGTAGCGGTAATATCCAGCGATGTGCAACAAAGCCTGCCCAGATATGTCAGCCAGATGTGATCTAAACAGACCGGCTCGCAACGGTCAAGTAAGGAGTGTTGGAGGAGGGGCGCAAGGCGCCTGCCGATGCTGATCCGATGTTAAAGACACCAAGGGAAATAAGACAGAAATGATCTCGTAGTGGCGGGGGAGATTTGCAATTAGACTAAGCGCTGTGGAAGAGGAAGGACGGATGTCTGAAAAAACATCAGTCATATGGTAGTAAAAAGTATGGAGTAACCACAAAAAATACGGAGTAATCGAGTAAGACTTAATCTCTATAGAAATATGGAGATTAAGTACAGGACATAAGAAATAGGTTGAAAGGGTAATACCACCACCCAAAAATCGTTATAGGATGCTACAAAGTAGCGATTATTGAGCTGTAGCCGGCCGTTCACCACAACTAGTACAAATACGTCAAGAGCAATTCTCAAGCAGATCCTTTCAGCCAAAGCATAGCCAACGGCCTTCAGCAAGATGCATCGGCCTGAAGAAAGCACTGATGGCTTACTCTGTGGCTGTTTCCGCTCGTCCATCGGCTTACTCCGATCCTGGTCGCGACTAAGAGCGGGCTTAATCCACTCGGCGCTGGTGTCGTTGCCGGTCGGAGACAACTCGGGGAACGGCTGCACGCCCGCCACCTGGCGAGTCCGAGCGACCGTCTCGGCAGCCGGGGGCGGGCCCGGCTGGGGCGGAGCCGACGGGGCGACTGGCCAGCGCCAGCCCGTAACTGGCGGAGGCGCCGGCGGGCCGCGGCGGACGGGAGGGAACAAAAGCGACGGGGTGGGAGCGCGGCGGCTGGGCCCGGCGCTGTTTAAGACATACAGGGTCCGGCGCCGGCGAAACGGGGCCCGTCCGCCTGCAGGGAGCGCCATGTTCGCACCTCCCGGCCGCCCGCTGTCTGGTCGTCCGCCGTCCGGCCGCCCACCATCTGGTCGCCCACCGCCGGGTCTACCGCCGTCAGGTCTGCCGCCATCAGGTCTGCCGCCATCAGGCCTGCCGCCATCAGGTCTGCCGCCATCAGGCCTGCCGCCATCAGGCCTGCCGCCATCAGGCCTGCCGCCATCAGGTCTGCCGCCGCCGCCAGGACGACGACCCACGCAGTCCCGCTGGTAGAAGTCCGTCCCGGCGCGTGACAGATAGGCCTTCTCACCGGCCGAGACTGAAACAGAATCATCCCGCTGTTGTTACCGACAGAGCAAGTATCGGCGACTTGACCGGCACCGAACCGACCATGAATAGGATAGTGAGCTTTAATAAATCTAATAGAGTGGCTTTTAATCAACGATCTCGAGGTCTGAGGGTAGTGCTATTTACACGAAGAGCCTTAGCACGCCTGTATCTCCCGCCCAGTAGACGCCGTTCACTTCTCAGCTCCGTCGCATTCGTCCAGCAGACGCCACCCGAACTCAAATTCATGCTCCCAGCTCCGTCGCATTCGTCCAGCAGACGCCACCCGAACTCAAGTTCATGCTCCCAGCTCCGGAAATTTGTAGCACTCACTCTCATCGTCTCCGCTCAGCAGACACTGTCCGGCCGTGGTGTACAGAGCGAACGAGCGGCACACGAACTGGCGGTTGTTCGTGCAGAGCCGCTCGCAGTCCGTGATGCGGTCCACGCGCGGGATCGTCAGGTCGATGTAGCGCGGGTACTTGTCCGTGGTCGGCACGTAGTCGCAGCGCGTGTCCGCTGCGGGTGCGACGCTCGGGTTAGCGGGCGTGGCGTCTCGCGCTAGACTTGTAGTGAAGTTCTGCATGAGTGGTGGACAGCAATAGTAACAGACAGCAGACGTCCGTGTTTCGTGAAGGAAACATAGCTAGCTGTCCAAGACGATAAATACCATACTGCACCATCTATCATGATCATCCCATCTCCACCCCACACCCCCCCACACCCTCTCCCTCTCTCTCCCTCTCTCCTTCTTTCTTTCTTTCGCGCTCCCTCACCAAGTCGATTTTGTTTTACTTCGCTCTTAAACCTTCGACCCTCTCCCAAAGTGTGCCCCCTGCACGAGCTTCATTGCACCTTCGCCAGTCCCCAGGCCTCAGTCTCACGCCTAAGCCCCACGCGCCGCGTCCCGGTCCTCACCGCCCAGACACTGGTTCTCTAGGTACTCGACGCCTCGGCCGGCTTCCACGTAGTCGTCCGGGAACTGGCGCCGGCTGGCCCTGCTCAGGCGGCACTCCAGCGTCTCTGCGTCGAAGGTGGCAGACCTGGCCGAGTCGTGGCGGTGCGTCACGCCTGGTACCGCGACACGGCGCGCTCCAGCGGGAGTGACGGGGAGGGTGCGACGCAGCGAGCGGATAGGTGCAGACGTCTCTAACTAGGGTACAGAGCACGGGTCGGAGGGAGCGGTGCTGCGAAACCGCCGCTGCCCAACGGCCACTGAGCAGGCTGTGGGATTTAATGGCGCAACAAATACTAGCAAGAAAATATTCAGACTCAATTACAGCCTCAGCGACCATCTGCTCACAAAACTGAGGTTGGCTGATGGAAAGGCTTTATTCAGACACAACGCATATCTGTTAGTGCCCAAGCGGCTTATGTTGTGCATTGCCCAGCTATACACACGTGGCCTCTGCGTTGTGGATGCGTGGCTGGCCCTGCCGCGAACGGTGGCCGGCGGGGGTGCCTACCTGCAGTTGTCAGCCAAGCAGGCGTTCTGGCAGTCCTTGCGGTTAGGTACCGCCCTCAGCACACGGTCGTCGTGGTCTCTCAGCTGCATGCCTGGCACACGCTCGAATGCCCAGGTTCGGCCGCGGCAGCTGGTGGCGGCGGGCCCTGCGGGTAGCCTCCTCCCGTTACGACAGCTGGTGGCGGCGGGCCCTGCGGGTAGCCTCCTCCCGTTACGACAGCTGGTGGCGACGGACCCTGCGAGCAGCCTTCGCACGCTACGAATCCTGCGGGCAGCCTCCTCCCTTTACGGATCCTGCGGGGAGCCTTCTCCAGTTACAGATCCTGCGGGGAGCCTTCTTCCGTTACAGATCCTGCGGGGAGCCTCCTCCCTTTACGGACCCTGATGGGAGCTTCCTCCAGTTACAGATCCTGCGGGGAGCTTCCTCCCGTCGCGGGCACTGCCCTTCTCCCGTTACGGACGGCGCCCGGGGATGCTGTGGGCACCGGTTTCGCAGTTGTTCGCGTTGGTTGCAGAGTGGGAACTGAAAAAGGGTCTTCGAGAGAGCGACTTAACAGTCTCAGAAAAGCAGCCAAAACTGAGAGTGTCCAGCCGGGTCGCAGCTGTGACCTCACGGCTCCGCGGTCAGATGTGACGATGTCGACGAGACTGTGCTGTATGACGTACGGTCCTTCGGAAGAGGCCCCACCACAAGCAAAGCACTAGGTACCGATTGCGGCCTGTTTAGGGCACATAAGGGCAAGTGGTGCAGGCATGTTCGGAATGGCGGAGTCTGCAGACAACTTTGGGTGTCGTTTACGCGTATGTTAACACGAGAGGGTGTTTCAGAAGAAGCAGGTTGAATTAATGCCACTTGCCCGTATTTCGTCCGCCATGCTGGAGCGCCAGCGATGTTTTATTTAGTAGGTTATGTGTGAACATCTCTTTCGGGCGGTAAACCTTCAGTCGGCAAATCAGGCCATTCAAATGACCTAGTTTTCAGACATAGGCGTTTCCAGCCTCCAGATAAAAGCAAGCATCTCATTTCCGGACGACAACGCATAACGTAAGATGTCAATAAGATGTCAATAAAAAGCTTGAGTATTTTCAGTGTGTAACATTCTACGTTACGTCGCTGCCCCCATGGCATCGGAAAGAAGACCTGAACACGCCTCTGATTTCTCTGAGCTGGTTACGCAGCGCACCCATCATTATAAATCAATGAATTGATGGGCACCATTTTGACTGCCCAACTACCGTGATCGTGTTGCGGCTCGAAATGCAGTTACGTAACGGGGGGCGAGGTCGTGTCGAAGCGTATTTGGTTAGTGCCTGAAAGTAGGTCACCGACCGTGAACCGGACTGGTGTAAGTGGTGGGGGCGGGGGGGGGGGGGTTGATTGATCATGCATACTGCCAGTCATCGAAAGAACTATGTTTTATGAGCGAGTTGTTTGACTGTTTTGAGTGATTGGGTAGGGCTTATTTGCATTTGTTTTACTCGAATATTGTGCTGGTACCTACGGGTTAAGGGGGGCTGCGACGCTAACGAAAGTTGTTGATCTAACAAAAAAAATACTGCGAGCGAAATTTGCAGATTACCATCTCTTTACGTGAGCCAGACTGTTCTGCGAGTCATCAGTTAAGGTCAACTCCATTCCCCTGCACGAATTGTCTAATTTTGAAGCGATGATGAGGCTGCAATGCATTGTTGAGGACTCAGTTGACCGCTGATCACGAAAAACGGCCTCCCTCGTGCCTCGCGTGCGACAGCAGGCATTGCGTTTACGCCTGAGCCGTGCGCGTGCTCAAACGCTATCGGCCTCCTCCATGCATGAAAAACCGATCCGTGGCCATTCATTTTTGACCGTGATGCACGGCCTCGCCGAGCCCACGCTTCTCATCTGGGTCAGGTCACGAGATCAAGGGTGCAGAGGCGCATGCGCAGCCGGCCGGTCAGCCACAGACCCGAGCCTGAGCAATGGCCAGAACCGTGACCTCTGCACGGGCTGTCGTAGATATCAAAGCTCTATTTTGTTCTGTGTGGTGTGATTTAACTCGCGCCTACTTTGAGTAGTTAACTAATATGCACAATAGTTACATATTCAGACAATACGCTGTAATGATATCATCGCCGACTGGTAATGGTCGCGCTGTAAATGACAAGTAAGGCGACAGGCAGACCCAATCTCATGGCAGCGTTCCGGAATCCCACAGCTGTAACAATCATGTCGCACTAAACTTGTTTCATACCTATGTCCCCTTGAGTTCCAAATAACCAAAGGGCAATGGCGGATTTTGCCCATGGCAAGACTTTAAAATTTCATATCATATGAAATGCTCGGCACCACAGCCACATTATACATTACTTAGATCACAAGTCCTGATCATGAAACAACGCCACTGTTGCGTCCTTTTGTCATGGAGCCGAAAGCCCCGGAAGCCCTCATCTTCCGCCCCGGTCCCGGTCCTGCCATCCTGGGCAGGCGGGCCGAGACGGAGGCTCCTCCTCCAGTCCGGGGCAATGACCGTCAGCGCCCGTCAGCCAGCCAATCCGCGCCTTTCAACCAGCCAATCCCGCACATGCATAGAGGCGGGAATCTACCCGCCTCCAGCAGACACTGCCGGCTAGCACCGGCGGCTCGCCGCCCGGGACAGGTATGTCGCCACTTCCGGTCTGCCGCCGGCTCGCCTCTGCGCTCCGGGCCGATTTACATGGTTAATGACTGTGCGGCGCGCCACCTCGGCAATTATCGTCGGCTAACAGCCGGGCGTGCCCCGCCGTTCCCCGCCAGGGGGGAGCGGGCGGCGTCCGCGCCCGCCGAGCCGTTCCAGAGCTGCATAATGGATGATATCGGATGGCGGATAATCAAATCAGGCGGGTGCGATTGAGTGTGCCATGTCTGGTGTGGGTAACGGGATCGTTACGCTCTAGGCGACGGCACGGATTTTCGGACGCGTGACGGGTCTGTGCGTGTTAACGGCGGTATTTCTCAGGGGAACGTGTTCGCTCAGTCATCACGCGAGGTATGAGGATGGGAAATGGACAACAATAGACAGTTGTAGCGATGAATCAGGACTGAGCAGCATTTATCAAAACCAGAGCCTGACTCAAACCCAAGAAACCAACGGGTATCTAAGAGGAGCCCGAAAACTCCAAATAACCCAATCAAACATCGGCCAATTAAGTCCAATTTGCATTAAAAACCGACCAGTCTTGCCACCATTATTAGACATAACGGCCCTGGCATAGGCACTTCTATTCGGTGAAATCCAGACAATACCGTAAAACCAGCCGGTGCGGTCAAACAACGTAGTTCAGCTGAGCTGCTGCACTATTGTTCAGACCTCGCACGAAACAAAGCACGGCGGTGGCATCAGCTTGCCGGTTGCGTCAGCTGTCGCCACAGCCCGCGACCCCGTGTCGGACCGAACCGTGGGTCTCGGCGTTCCTCGATCTTCCGGCCCGGCGCGGGCGGACAAAGCGCACTGCAGGGAGGGGCCGCCGCCCGCCACCGCCACCGCGCCGCCGACCGATTGGTTCCCAGCGTGACCGGCCGTCCGATCCGGTCGGTATCGTCTGACCGATCAACCGATGTCCGGACCGGCGGCCATTGACCGCCGCCGTTCGCGCCGGCCACACCCCTGTCAGCGGCCGCGCCGCTCAGCTGCGCGTGCTGTTCGGACGGGTTTACGAGCGTCTGTGCAAACACGCACGTGTTCACTGGCAATGTAATGAGGGGGGGGGGGGGCTGAGATTGTGATCTGTACGCTTTCGGTTGGAATGGTAAACCAGGCTCCTTTTGTTACCTGGTCCAAATTGTTTAAAGGGCGGGCGTGGTCCACACGGTTTTTGCGAACCACCTAATAGTTACACGATGCGAATTTGCGACGTATGCGTGAAATATGGGTATTTATGTTCCCGACACTATCGAAAAAGGGACGACACATGCGGCAGGCAACCCCTTCAAAAAAAACGGGGGTGCCTCGGCAGCCTCCCATAAGCTGAAGCATTGCACGTTGCGAGCGCCACAGCGCAGACATCCTACGCCGACTGACCCATGAGGCAGATTTTCTCGAAGTAGTTGAAGCCCTCCCTGGCCTGCAGGTCCTGCACCCGGCCTTGCGTGTTGCGGTCCAGCCGGTAGCAGCGCTGGCTGAAGTAGTCGATCACCAGCGCCGGACATTCGGTGCCCGTCTGCAACGACCCACCTCAGGTCATCCAGCAGGAGCGGGCAGGGTCTGGGCACGACCTGACGTCGGTCAGTGCACGTCGCTGGCCCACGTGTCAGCTTCAGATGCACGTGCTGCAACTGGGCCGAACCGTGGTTAAAGCAGGAGTCGCTTCCTTTGAAGACAAAGTGCGATTTCGTGCCACGCACCCAGGTGGCCGGTTCAATGCCCGTCGCTCAGGTGGGGGTGGGGAAGCAGCAATTGACCCCCGGAAATCACAATAACTAATACAGCTAGACACCAGTTCATAGGGTGTGTTGCCCTGCACGTGAACTTACCTATGTCGCAACGTGAGGTTCCTAGTTCGTGACCTTCGGATAATATAAGATCCGTCGAGGTCAGCCCCAGACCTTCCCATGCAACCACCGTGACCTCAGATACTTTTTCTGAGCAAAAAATAACTGGTGTTCATCTAGGGTCCTATCTTGCCTGACCTTTAGAAGGTCATGGTGACCAAAATCATATAAGACTGCTTCGATTTTTGGATGTGAATAAGCATCAGGGATTACGCTAGGTGGTACGTTGCTAAAAACAACGTATTGATCTGGAGCATAAAAGGTCCAGTGACCCACTCCGAACTTAAAGTAGTCCACGGGAAATGTATGATGCGGTGCCCTTTTAGGAAAAAATCAAAATGAGCACTAGATACTATCCCGTACAGCAGCCTTCGTGTAAGAGTGGATTGGTTTTGACCTTGGCCTGACCTTTGTACCCGACCCTAGGTCAGTGGAATTTCAGCGTTCTTCTTAAGTTAGCGAATTAACGATGGTTCCTAGCAAATAATTCGAGCACTAACGGCAAGCTTATACTCGGGCGTCGACCAGACACAGCAAAATGAGAAAATAGGGCTGGGGTCATCACATGCTGTCGGTCGTACCCACCTCATCACGTTGGTCACTGCACTGGGGTGATGATGCCCTGGTCAGCCTACCCACCTCATCACACTGGTTACTGCACGGGGTGGTGATGCCTGGTCAGCCGTACCCACCTCATCACACTGGTCACTGCACGGGGTGGTGATGCCCTGGTCGGCTGAGGGCGGCAGCGGGAACGGCTCCTGGTTGGCGCCCCGCAGAATATGACCGGTGACCTTCTCATACGTCAGCACACCGTCGTCGCATGACTCTGTGGGAGACAGGTCACGTTACGCATCACTAGCACTGGACTGGCTGTAAAACGTGTGCCTCTGACATGGGACACGTTTAACAATGTCCTCAGTTTTTGTCGCCGGTGATGTCTGACGCCGCCCACATTATTTCTACCGAAAGGCAATGCATCATTCAGATGGATCACGATATGATCTCGAATCAATGGCGCTGAGCGAACTCATCGCATATCGAAGCTCCCAGAAGACAGGCCAGCATATACCGTTGAATGCAGAGGAGGTCAATGATGAAGTGAGGAACCATACATTCCCGAAGGCACACGGTATCTGCCGACCGCACCAGCTTATGTCCACGCGACCCACGCATTCGAGCTCCATGCCTCACGTGAGCTCTACCCCCACCCCCACCCATTCCCACTGACTGTCCACCCCTCTTCGCCGCCCGGTCCGACCCACCAAGCGTGCAGACGCGCTGGCTGGTGACGGCGCCCTCCATGGCCGGCAGCTCGACTCGGCCCAGGCTGACGAAGTCGTCCCCGCTCAGGTAGCAGCGGTTCTTGACCCGGTCAAACGTGTACATGCGACAGACGAAGCGACGCTCGCGGGTGCAGGCGGCCTCGCAGGCGGCTGACGACTCGGCGAAGTCCAACGAGTCCGGCGTCAGCACCATCACGCCCCGCTGGGGAGGGTCGTACCGGCAGTCGGGCAGCTCTGGGGAGGAGGTCGCAGCGTCAGCACCATCACGCCCCGCTGGGGAGGGTCGTACCGACAGTCGGGCAGCTCTGGGGAGGAGGTCACAGCGTCAGCACCATCACGTCCCGCTGGGGAGGGCCGCACTGGAATTCGGGCAATTCTAGGGAAGGGGTCACAGAGTGAGCACCAGCAGGCTATCGCATCACTGTGCGAAGTTTTGGTGACTGCAGTCTGTTCGTTTCCAAGTGAGGGCAGTCCGGTGCAGCCAGAACAGGCGATTCATGGTGAATATGTGTCGAACCGCCAAACGGACCTTGTCAGCAGGTACAGACGCCGGTTGGACTGCGGTCCACGCTAACAGTTATCTTCTGCTGACGAAGGTGGCAATGCAGTGAAGCTCCAGGACATTTAGCGGGTGAAGCACGGGGAAAATACCCCAGTGCCCACACCCGGCCCATTCCCCTTCCCCACTGGCTGGTTACCCTCTACTCTTCCTCCACCCACGTGGTCGTGGTGGGGCTAAAACGGCTATGGAAGGAGTTCCATAGCTGTCTTAGTTAGTCCATCATGGACCGGTATACCCCCATAATATATGGCAGTCAATTCACCACATCTTTTGTGTCCTTTTCCTCTGAACGCAAGGATAAGGTGACCTCCTAAATCCAAAGAGAAATCCGAATTTCGGGGTAAGTTAGGCAAACCCCTATTGCGGGTATGTCACGCCAATGGCACGACCCCGCTCCAAATTGCTTAACACGCACTCGTATGGGAGTCAAATTGACTCCCCAGGGGTTTCCAGAATGGTTTCCGAATAGCGCGTTGTCGCTGCGCCAAATTTTGCGTAGTTGCTAGACAATGTAGTAGCAAATAGTTCGGTATGAAAATTTAGATGAATCTTGTAAGGCCGCTGATCTATGGCAGGTCAAAGTCAGGCCATGGTTTCAGCGAAGTCAATTTCCAGAGATCGTTCAATCTGATGCAACGGCGGAGTGTTAGACGAAGCCACACATCTCTGAGATGCTTTCTTAGGCAGCACAAATATTGAATGTGCAAATTATGTTGATCAAAAGGTCAGGTATGAAGGTCAGACCAAGGTCAAAACCAACTGTGTTTTACTACTGTAGGGTTTGCTGTATGGGATAGTTTCTGTTGCTTATTTCGAATAGACTTCTCAGAGGGCAGAATAGGTTATTAACCTAAAATGACCCAGGTCAACATTTTGTTTTTTGAAACATGCTGCCTATCGTAATCTTTGTCGCTTATTCAAATGCAAAACTTGGAGCAGTCTTGTATGATTTTGTTCACCATGATCCTCAAAAGGTCAAACAAGGTCACTGACCTTAAAGGAGCATGTGACCTTTTGCTTAGCAACAGGCTCTGGGGGCACTTTGTAGGCCGAGCTGGAATTTGACCTTGTTGGACCTTATTTGATCCGAAGGTCATGACCTAGGAACCTCAAACTTTGACCTCTGTGACTTCATATACAGGTCAACATACTCCGTAAATTTCATGTTTCGGGTAAATTTATATTCATAATCAATACCCTGTAAATATGCATAAAGATTTATATATATATATATATATATATATATATATATATATATATATATATATTGGAATATTTGGCAGAATTCTTTCTTTGATACATGTTTGATTAAAGATAACTGCTGACTCAGCATTGACGAGCTTTTTGATGCATCGTCCTAGTTTCCGGGCCTTTGACTTTGCGTCATCGCTTAGATTAAAGATGGTTCGCACAAAATTACTCATATATTCATCACTCTGGTCACCAGGGAAACTAGAACGAGGCATCAAAAGGCTCGTCAATGCTGAGTCAGCAGTTATTTTTAATCAAACATATATATATATATGCATATATTTACAAATTCATAAAAATATAAATGTAAATATAAATACAAATATATGAATTCATGCCCTGTAAGTTTCATGTTCACGTACAAGTCAACATAGCCTATAGCTTTCTTAGTTTCCGAGATCTCAGGGGGTCAAATTGACCCCCCCCCCCCCCACATCCGAGCGAAAAGTATCTAGCCGGTCACCAGGGCGTGTGTTAGGCACCTGCCCTTCTCCTCTATCTCGAAGTCTTCTATATGTAGTCACTCTATTACAGTCTTCCGAACTTAGCCGTCCCTCCCCCAGGTGCGTGATCATGAAAACGGGTGCAGAGCTCCGGTCGCCCCTCCCCCCCCCCCTCAGCCCCAGACGTTTGGACACTCACGCCTGGCGCACTGGTTCTCCAGATATTCGATGGTGCTGCGGCCGCGGCGGAAGGCCTGTGGCTGCGTGCGCCGGTCCTCCTTGCTGAGCCGACACACTCGCTCCACGCTGTCGTAATCGGCTGACCTGGCCATCCGAGAAGCACGGGGTCAGGCGCAATAGGGTCAGGGCCGGCCTGCATCCCACGCACGGGCTTCTGCATAAGTGACCGCACTAGAAGAGACGGGGCACGTCCGTTTCTGGGCTGATAGGGTATGGTGTCTGTTGGAACGAGAGTGTCATAGCACGATGCTGCGTGGTTTGCAGAATGCCTCGGCTTACATACATGAGAAAAAGCAAGATACCAAATGTGCTTACCAAGTATGTGTGGCAATAAGCATGCATGCTATTCCGGCCCTGAAATACATGATGCGCGATGCTAATTCTATTACACCATGAAGCACTAGTGCTCCTCCAACAAAGGTGTGTTCACTGTGACCGCACCGCGCGGACAGCTCTCTAGTCGCCGGGCCCCCGCTAGCCGGCGGCGGTCGATGACTGCCGACCTGCAGTTGAAAATCCTTCTCCATGAGGCAGGCGCGCTCGCAGTCGACGCGACTCTGGACCGAAGGCATCTCCTTCGTGTCGAACCCATCCAGCATGGCGCCCAACACGCGCTCGAACGCCCAGAGCCGGTCGTCACCGCACATCTCGGTGAACTCCTCCGCCACTGCCGAACGGCGCGGGCCCGGGTTCACATGCGCACATGGTCACCAGAACACACAGTTCCGACTCTGACTATGAGTCACGCACGGCCAGCCGACGTCAGGAGACGACATGGTCTTGGACTCTTACTCAGTCGCATGCATTGTCACCCACTGTCAGGAGACAGGACTGGCACTGCTCGTGCGTACTATTTATTCCCGTCGGAAAACGGTACTGGGTCATGAATTATGAAACCACAATACAGCTTAGCGTACACAATACAGTGGTGGCCGTTATACCCAACGCATATAAGAGGCAGAGAACTACAGGCGGATCCGCACAGGCTGCCGAGCCAATGCTCGAGGCGGCGGGCCGCCCGGAGACAGATCTCACCGCCCCGGAGACAGATCTCACCGCCCCGGAGACAGATCTCACCGCCCCGGAGACAGATCGCAGATCTCACCGCCCCGGAGACAGATCTCACCGCCCCGGAGACAGATCTCACCGCCCCGCAGACAGATCGCAGATCTCACCGCCCCGGAGACAGATCTCACCGCCCCGGAGACAGATCTCACCGCCACGGAGACAGATCTCCTCGTAGTAGCTGGTGCCTTCTTTGTCGATCAGATCACTCTCTCGAGTGGCGGACTCCAGGTCGTACGACACGCACCTGCCCTCCTCATAGTCTGGAACGAACGTCCGGGATGGTGTCACGCGTGGGAACAGGAGCAGCCTGGCCAGGGTGGGGGTGGTGGTGTCTGCAAGTGCAGGCTAGTTCACAGCTGTGTAATGGTAGGCATGTTGTCACGGGCTCGCCGTGTGCATCTGCGCACACATTGCGCACATCTACGCACGCTTGAGGTAGGATATGTTTTAGAATTTTGCTTGGCTCCGTGATAGAAATACCGCATTTTGTACAGAAAATTGATTCCGATAACCAGGGATTACCGTACGGTTCCGGTCAAGCACCAGCTCCTTATGCACGCAAGCCTGCCTCGGTGTTGACATAAAACCGGCATAGATGAGTTCACGCACTGTTACAGAAGCACCCATGCTGGTCCACTGCAGTCTGATGGTTCCGAGCCGATATACTGAACCCTTGCACCGCATACCGGGTGTGTGACTGAGACAGCGTCTGTTTTCTGAAGAATTTCGCTCAAATCCCCCAACTCCCAAGGAGCAGCGGGGCAGTCCCGTTAGACTGTCCCACCGTACGTTGGTGTTCGGCGGTACAGCATGTGGCCGCGTTTGCTTTGCGAAGAATGTCTCGACGTTAAGTATTGGGCTTGGCGGCGCCCACCCAACAAACGAGTACTTACGCGCTTGTCACGACCGCTTGATGATGGAAGCGGGATTGAGCCTTTCAGACTGTTGTGATCAAATGGCGACCGTGCAAAATAAATGGTAAAGACCTACGAACTAAACATCCCTGCTCCCCAGCTCCTGTCCCATTCACATGAGCCGTTCGTCCCTCAGCAGGAGGCGGACGCTTCCACCGTCGGTGACCGGAGGGTCAGTGGGGGGGGGGGGGAGGGGGAGGGATCGGGGACGGCCGCGCCCGGCCCGTAACCTCACCGAGCACGAAGCCGCTGCAGTAGGTGGCCTGGCTGCAGATCGCCGTGCAGTCCCGCAGCACGGGAGAGTTGGTGTTGACCAGCAGGTCACGCTTCTCGGCGCCCGACGGCTGGAACGTGCGACCCACCGTCTTCTCGAAGGTCAGCGTGCCGCCGAAACATTGCGCTGCGGGCGGAACAGGGTCGTTAGAGGACACCTGCCGCGCGGGAAAGGGTCGTCAGAAGGCACCCGCCACACGGGACGGGTCCTGGAGGTCTCAGCGGCTGCAGCGACCTTGTAAAAGGGCGCATGAGCCATGCGATGACATATATTACATGTAGCTGCATAAAACATTATTGTTTGAGTTGTTCCCTACAGAGCAGAATAGGCACAGCTCGCAGTGCTTCATCCGCATCATCACCTGAACAGGCGCACGGGTGTGGACGGTTGAATACCTTACTCCTGGACGAGGGTCAGTTGACTCCCCCCTGCGATCTAAAAAAAAAAACTAAGAGAGCCGAAGATGCCAAATTTACAGGGTGTATGATCCTGTAGGAAAACTCGTTTGTGTCAGTATTTGAGCCTCCTGGGTCATTAATTTGGGGTCAAATAAGGTCAAACAAGGTCAAACCCAGAGCGCTTTCCAAAGTGCCCCCAGGTCTCATCATGCAACGGTCTTTAACCTGGATACATGTTCTAAGCAAAAGGTCACTGGTGCTCACTTCAAGCTAGTGACCTTGTTTCAACTTTAGAGGGTCAGAATGGCCAAATACCTATTAGATTGCTAAGATTCTTTTAAGCTCTGAATCGGCGTCGAGGATTACGTTGGGTAGTATGCTTCTAAAAAAGGTTGATCCGGGCCATACCAGGTCAGCGACCTTCTCTGACCTTTGGGAAGTTCATGGAAGATGTCTGTTGCGGTTTCTGTTGTCGGTTTCTGTTGTTAAGAAATTGGAGATGAGCACAAGAGGCTACCACATAATTATCAGTAAGATCGCTACACACATCGGGAACATAGGTCCACACATCTGCGGCCTGTCACACAATCCAGAGTTGAGCTGAGGTCACGATCAGCGATCCATACGGATCTGGCCGTTCACCGGCACGGATATCCGCTCAGCGCGGCCGGATCCGCGCCCATTAAGCCGTCCCGCGGCAGCCAAACGCCACAACACGGAGCCGGATGTCGCGTACGGCTCCGATCGAGCCCATTTGGCGGCCTGGTGGAATGTCAACGGTGTCGGAGCATCGGCCCGACCTGGTCAGAAGCCCGAGATCGGAAAGCAAAAAGTATTTTGAAAGAATTGAGCTTCAGGAGAGTTTGGTATGTGAGCTCCAGCAACGGTTAGAGGCTGCATATGCATTGACTGACAAGGACGAGGACGACAAGACCCTTCCCCGGCTAACCCGGAATGTCTGTGACAGGCTTACACTGGCCAGTCCCAACTCTCCATGTCTCCGCAGCTGCCGATCGTGTGGGGCGGGGCAGTGGGGGGGGGGGGGGGAGGGGTCCCGCCCCAGCGCGGACGCTGGAGTGGCCTTGCGCTGATGACACACGGCCCGGTAACGAGCGGGGGCAGCCGGCGGGGCGGCGATCCGGCTGATCCGGCCTGGCCGCCGCTGCCGCCACCGCAGCCGTGACGTGCCGGTTTGCGCCCAGAGCCGCTCTGCCCGGCTCCGCCCGCTATGATAGCGGGGGTGCGGGGTTGCGGACGTCTGCAACTCTCCCAGCGAGTTGGTTTGGAAGCGAAGATTGATGCACGAACGCGCGGTAACTGAACCATAGCCAGGCTGGATGGGAAGCGATGTTTGGATGTGCTTTGCCTTTGTTCCAGTTTTGATGTCGCATGTGGAACGGTGCTTCTTATGGGCTGGAGGTTGATGCGAAGTAAATTTCAGCTATGTGTGGTCCGTACAACCTCGCTTACTCCACATCCTCACCGCGTGTGCTATGTATAGTTGCTTATTCCGGCGGGCACTCACCATTTGAGATGTCAACTGAACAGATGACGACTAGAAGTGTTGTCCACAGTCTCCATACCATGTCGTCTTTCCGCCGCCCCACCTGCAAAGGCACGGAAAGGGCAGCGTAAGCATGGGTCACCATCAACACACCCAACCGGTCACGGGCTGATATTCGACGCATCTGAGACCGTCAGCAGAGGCTCACGATCTCGGCCCGGCGCCAAGGCTGCCCGTGGCGTTGACCGGGAGCGAGGGGACCGGTCCCGTGCAGTGAACCATCGCCGCCAAAGTCAACGTCCGCGCCGATCAGTGCTCGTATTTCACGGTTGTCTAACTCTGCCGGCGGCCACGCCCGCGGTAATGACGGCCGCGCGGCCGCGGCGGCCGGCGAGCTGCGCTGGCCGGGCCGGGCCGCGCCCGGCGGCGCCCGCAGGCAGGCGGGGAGCGCAGGCAGGCGGGGAGCGCGCAGAGCGTGGACAGAAACAGACTGGGCCCGCAGAGGGCAGGGGCAGGGCAGAGTGACGTGGCGGTGGCGGGGCGTGGGGCTGGTGTGATGCACTGACGTAAGGGGAGAAGCGAACGGGCGCAGACTGTTGTCCAAGAGGTAGGGAATAAGAGGCAGAGACCATTGTCAGTTGAACGCTATGAGATATAACTGAGATCATGACCCGCTGATGTTGGTCACTTGAAAAGAGCAGTTCGGGAGCAGGAGTACACACGCATGTACCACACAGATTGGATGTCAGGCAATAGAAAGGTGGCCAACACAACATGCTTGGTGTGAATGAGAGTTCCCATCAATAGTGAATCTGAAAATATGTTCCAAACTCGTTCCATTAGCTCGTCTATCTTCACTCTTCACTTCACTCACGTCCCATTCGCTCGTATGTGTAATGTTATCACGTAAATCGAAAGCATCCAACTTACACGTGCTTGCCGGTTTAAGTGCCAGGTTCGAAACATAAACAAGCCTGGCGGTCAGAAGTACACTCTCAGAGGGAAACGGCATACACCTCGCACAAAACCGTGACCTGTTTCACCTAAATTAAGTTTCAAGAATGCTCACGCCACTTATCGAGCGCAACGAGCGCTGAGCACGTCAAGACCGTGACGGTTCATGTTGCTATGTTGACCAGTCGGCTAGCGGTCGCCACCAGAGCGTCACGGGACCGGATGCGGGAGCGAAGCCGGGCGCATGTGCAGATATGCGGTGCAGTTACCGTTAGTACGGTACCGGACCAAGTTCTGCAAAATTTGCAAATCCTGTGCAGTTTGGGCGCGTTCTGTGTGAGTGTTGCACGTCTATATGCTAGCCGAGACTAGGAGCTTCGTGCAAATCCCGCATACTGAATATAATTTGGGACTGTTTAATGCATACGCACATCAGAAACTTGCTGGTACATTATGCCTTTGCTAGAACAAAAATAAAATTGTTTACCGAGCGAACTGAGCTCAAGTTTGCTATGGCATCATATCTGAGGTGCGGTTAACGCTGCTGAAATGCAGGGAAGGAAACAGTCCTCTTCCGACGGCTTGCTATGCTGCGCCTTTCCTACCAGCCCTAACTCTAACTAACTCTAACTCCTAACTCCAGCCTTGCGCTGGCCGATGCGAGAGATCACCAATCCCGCTCTGTTTTGAGGTCAAAGGGTATTAGCGCCCGGCCAACTCGAGGCCGCGCCTGGCTGTGACGTCACAAGCGCATCACGGCCTCGGCGGGGGACCGTGCGGGACGTCATGCCGTTTCCAGGGGCAGGGGCGTACCCAGGGAGCCGACAGGAGGAGCTGGGGAAGGAGCTGAGCGATACCCGCGGCCGTACGGGCATGTGTGGTCTGCTGCTTGGTATTTGTTAATAAAGTACATATTTGGGCTGGATTCGCCACCGCAGTTTTCAATAAGAGTTTTGGGGGTTGAACAACGCGTTCGATCTCTCAGGCTACTGGGAGGTTAACAAATCTAGCGCAAAACAACGCAAGGAAATAGAACCCACTGGACGGTAGTCAAGCTCGAGCCCCACATCGTGTACGGTCGTGGGGCAAACGGCTCTCTCCACCCGAGGTTCTCCACCCTCTCCACCTGAGCTCTCCCACCTAGCTTCTCCACCCTCTCCGCCTGAGCTTCTCCACCTCTCCACCTGAGCTTCTCCACCCTCTCCCCTGAGCTCTCCACCCTCTCCGCCTGAGCTTCTCCACCCTCTCCGCCTGAGCTTCTCCACCCTCTCCGCCTGAGCTTCTCCACCCCTCCGCCTGAGCTTCTCCACCCTCTCCTCTACCTGAGCTTCTCCACCCTCTCCGCCTGAGCTTCTCCACCCTCTCCGCCTGAGCTTCTCCACCCCCTCCGCCTGAGCTTCTCCCCTCCACCCTCTCCCCTGAGCTTCTCCACCCTCTCCGCCTGAGCTTCTCCACCCTCTCCGCCTGAGCTTCTCCACCCTCTCCGCCTGAGCTTCTCCACCCCCTCCGCCTGAGCTTCTCCACCCTCTCCGCCTGAGCTTCTCCACCCCCCCTCTCCGCCTGAGCTTCTCCACCCTCTCCGCCTGAGCTTCCCCACCCCCTCCGCCTGAGCTTCTCCACCCCCTCCGCCTGAGCTTCTCCACCCTCCACCCCCTCCGCCCTTGAGCTTCTCACCCCCTCCGCCTGAGCTTCTCCACCCATCTCCACCTGAGCTTCTACACCATCTCGCCTGAGCTTCCCACCATCTCCGCCTGAGCTTTCTCCACCCCTCCGCCTTGCGGAGCTTCTCCACCCCCTCCGCTGAGCTTCTACACCCTCTCCACATGAGCTTTCTCCACCCTCTCCGCCTGAGCTCTCCATTCTCTCCGCAGCTTCAGTCCCCGATCATTTATCACCACCAACAGCGCACACCTTTATCTGGGCTTGGCGGGTAGATGTGTAGTAGATGGGCGAGTGTTGGTCAAGCCCGTTCATGACCAGCCTATAGCAAGTCTCTTCTTCACACCCCCCCCCCTCCCACAATACAGAGGTGTTATCGACAGCGGATTAAAGGGCTTTGAGAACGTTTGTATTTTCTCTTACATACCGTTTTTGTTTCTGGAACAAACACAACAGTTTCATCCAGCGAAGTAAGCACGCGGGCATACGGAGCCAGAAAATAACACATCTAGAAGCGACAGCAGAGCTTATCGTCATATATCACTTGACGCTCCGAATACTAAATTATCACAATGTATTTTGAACCACACGGACTATGCTCACACCGCATACATCTAAGCACTTAAACGACGTCCCGAATGTGTCTCACAAGGTTTGAGCTGACATAGAGCTGCTCAGCACGAACTTCACAGCTTTTATGCCACGAATGTTGCATTTTGGAGACAGAAAAGCTTGTTAAAAAGTAACTATATCCCTCTTACTAAAGCTGTTTCTACTATCGCCGTTGATGAAACCGGTGGCTTCCCATAGGCGCACGTCAAAAGTCGCGTTGCTCGCTACGTTATCTGACCCCGAAAGCAAAAGGGTCGACAAAACTACACTAACGGCCGCGCAGTGAGGCGGCGCCACTTGCCGGTAGTTCTTGTCGCTACACCATCCATCCGTCCCTGTCCAGGTGCCATCTACGGTGCACGCAAACGCAACCATTGTGCAAGCAACATGAAGTGTGATTAGCGAGAGGCGTCTACCTGATCCCCTCGGCGTCGAGGGATATATATCTTCCAAATCACCATGCAGACATGAGTGTCATATTATGGGCAGTATGGGCACAGCTTCATTACCCTTTGACTTCCCTCACGCTGTGTCGCGAACCCAGCGAGAGAATTAAACGCCAGTGCTCTCACTAAACCGGCCGATGGTGTCTTGTGTTCGAAGCAAGTCTCCGGCACCGTGAGCGCATCACGCGCAGGCGGTGGGGGATAATGGAGGGGCAACGCTTTCTTACAGGCGATTAAGGCTCATAGTATAGATTTTCAAAGAGGTAATCTGCACAGCGGAGACATTGCTTAATTTGGAATACTACCACCGCAGTGGACACACTGGCATCAGCCTAACACCAAATGAGGATCTCCTTGTGATTAATTTGCATTGGCAATCGCTGGCGATTGCATTCTAGGTCTTGTTCATTCAAGTCATTCCGAACTAAAGAATCGTTTCATTTGTAGCATAGATAACATCATACACCATAAAAACAAAAACCGGCCAACTTCGCTCGTTCAGAAACTTTGTTTCGAATGGTTTGTTCAGATGACTTAGGGTCCTGTCAGACCTTGTTAAGTGAGCCTTGCAACTATCATCCATGCCGCATTGCTCCAGTACATGGCATCACTACGTTCCCGGCCCTTTTGATCATACGTGAGTGCGGTAGGCCTTTTTCGTGCTGTATACAATGTTACAACATGGTCGCCTCGCGGCAGGTCGACCGTCTTTGCCACTTGCTAGGTGACCTTTCGTTGTAGGTCAGGTAATGCCAGGAACACGTTCCGTACCAAGTGTCATTGGATCACTAGTTCACCATCCGTACAACGGACCACAGATGCGTCGGTATGGCTGAACAATGGATGAAGGGCTTTTGAATGAATGTCACATTGTATGCGCTCCAAAGGCGACATTTCCCTCTGTGCGGCGTTCTAGTGTGCCTCATCATAAAGCGATTGCTGTTTAACAGTGACGAAACTGACTATCGAGAGGCATGCATGGAGCTGCTGATGTCGTTAGGATTGGGGCCACCTATTAGGCGTTTTGTGCTCCGGACATCGATACGGACGCTGCGTTCTTCGTGGGTAGTGTTTCAGCGTGGTAACGTGAGCTGCATCAGTGTTCAGAACTCCCCTGGCGCCTTTGCACGGACCAGTAACCATAGTCAGCAAGGTTAAAGGACACCGCGCAAGGCTCATTACACTGACTGCCTTATGATTACTACGAGTCACGCTTACGGAATAGTGACGACCTTGGAAGAACAAAGCAACTATGCACCTTCGTGCGTGACGGGAATGTGTGTATAGCTGTGTCTGGCTTTGAGTACAGAGCTTCTGTCGTTAATGATTCGTTGCCGATGTGAATTACAACGAATCTGCTGCATGTGAAGCATGTAGCGTTGATAAAACCCTCAAAAGGCCGCAGGCCATCATGCCCTTGAAAAGCACGTCTAATTGCTTCCGAACGGTGCCGTTCTTTGAAGGCCGTTTACAACACGTTTTGAGGTTAGCTCGTCCAGTTTTACTTGACGAAATACGTTTAGTAAATTATGTTACTTTACGAGCACCGTGTGCATCTCAGTCCAGAGCACGTTTCGAATTAATCTCTGGAAATATTGAGCTGGAGCGTCTTGGGGTATAAAAGTCAGCACATGCTATCGGCCAAGGCTTTGTTTAGAGTCTAATGTGGACCGGGTCACGTAACATACCTAACTCAGAAAATGACCATGCGTTTTTCGGTGCTGGAGATACGAAATAAGAACTCAGACGGGGCTGTTGACAAAACATATCGGCCAATCATTGCGATTGGGTCAATCGCTAAAGGGCACTGGTTTTGCACCTCTGCTCCAATCCGCACGACCCCTAACCCCGGAACCTCCGCTCCAGTCCATATGTCCCACGCCACCGAGCCCCGGATCCGTCCACATGTCCCGCATCCCCGGATATCCGCCCCGGTCAACCTGACCCCAGTACAACTTCCCCCTGGTCCACACGTCTTGCGTCCCGAGCCTTCACTCCACTCCACGCGTCCCACGCCGCCGCACGGCGCCGTCCACCTGTCTACCCGCCCGTCCCGCCACGTCCGGCGGCGCGCCGGGCGGGCCGCCGCCCCGGCCGGCGCACGTCCGCGGCCGCTGACCGGCAAAAAGGCGGTGGGGTGGGGCGCGTCCGCGGCCCGGGAGGGGAGCCGCCCGCACGTGATGGCCCACCGCGCCCCGCCCAGGGGGACGCTGGCCGCCCGTTCCGGCAGGGCACGCGTCCGAGCGACAGCCCTGGCAGCGGACATCGCCTTCCGCGCCACGGCTTCCGGCGTCAGGCCACTTTGCGAGGGGGTCGCGGATGTGTGAATGGGGCCTACTGCAGAATAAACAGGAGGGGACTTGGGCTTCCACGAAATGCGACTGTTTGTTGTCGGATCAGATTCCTGAATTCGCAAAACAATCCTTGCCAACTTGTTATATTCATATAAGTTATTCCCAGCATAGCGCTCAGCACATATGCTTACACTTCACAACAACCGAACTCGTGATGATTGACGTTGTTATCTAAGATTATCTGCTCAGGTTTGCGGAGCCGAGGAGCATCGAGCGCCCCCATGGCGGACCCGCAGCCGGGCTCCTGCAGACGCGTGCCCCACTTCCGGCGGCCGCAGAGGTGCGGGGAGGCGTGAGTCACGTCACCGCACCGTCACGCCTCCTGAAGACGCGCAGCGGCGCGTCCGACCGCTCAATGCCAAGGGCGGGGCGGCACAGCCGCAGCGTCACGCGGCACCGGTCACGTGGTCTGGGATCACTCTCACCGACAGGTGCGTCGCTGCGGTTGCGGCGCTTTACCTGCGTACTCGCGGGGACTTGGCGCGTGCGCGCTGGGAACATGCACTGGGCCCTTCATCTAGGAAATGCAAGAGACAGGTACAAGGTCCAGGATGCATCGAAAGCGACCGGTGATTGCTGGTGAACAGATCGCTGCTCGCTGATTAGGATCCATGTGCTCAGGACCGATGCTGACAAATCAGCGCGAGTAAAGGAGTGCATCAAAGGGCAGGGGTGTTTCCGGGATTTTTAATGTTGGTGCGAATTTGTGTGGGTGCGTCGAAGATTCTAGGGAATTGCTTTGCCGCTTAACGCATGCTTGAAATTCTTACTGGAAGTACCAACTCAGATGACGAGATCGGTTCGAGGGCACCGACCACACGCTGAGCGGCGCATGAAAGGGCGGTAGGCGGGGTCAGCATAGCACTGAGCTTTTCGAAAGAACAGATTACCTCCCGTGGTCAAAAGCGGGAGATTTGAATAATCTGCCACTGTGCAAAGAGCTGGACAATCCCGGACCTAGTTGCAAAAAGCATGTCATGTTGATTAAATACTGTTTGGCGCGTGGGAATTGGGTGAAATGTGGACAACACCGCTAATCCTATCAGAATGCATGCGGTGTTTCAGAATGTTAATCGAGATCGTTGCTATTTCCCTTTACGAGGCCGCATGCTGGAAATCGCGGAATGTTTGCCGTCGAGATTTGGTAGGCAATTTTCCATCTAGATTAGAAAGGTGTTTCCAAGTTCGCGCCCAAGCCACATGTGCAATTATCAAATGCCTTTGGCTGAGTTGTTTGACTCGCCAACGGAAAGTGCACCTTTTGAGGTGGTAAAAGGCCGATTTTAGTGTAGACGTACTCGAATGGACGAGCAATTTAATGTTTGGGCAAAGCCAACAAAAATTGATGCATTAAAGCCCTTTTCATGCCAGCCATTTCGAGCGGTGCCTAACTTGGTCTCGCTGCATTCCATAGGCACGCAAGCATAAAATCCACAGAAAATAGGACAAACGGCGGGTGAAACCAGTCATTCGCCGTCAGGCCCTACCAAATAGCTGGTAAACTTTGCTGTGGAAACTTTTTTATTGTCATCTTGTACCATTCGTCATGTTACGCTTGTGTTGTTGGTTTGATGCCAACAAATGATGAAGTAGTGAAAATGTGAAATAACAGAAAGGTGCATGATAACCAAACAAAAGCGTCATCGAGGTGAATGGCTTTGATGGTCCTGACGGCAATGAAAATGGATTTCACTTCGACTTCCTTTTATCTTATCATTTGAGCATTCAGCTTTGGTTCCAAATTAGGCCCCTGTTTCATACCGCTTGCGTAAACAGAGCCTAAATTTAAAGATAGGCTTAGTACTTCGTCTTTGGTCTTAATGCTATGGGCTAAACTAACATGTTGTCATCATGGCAGTTCAGTTAGATGTTGCCCCGTGTTTGTTTCATCTCCGACTGGGCCCTAGTTATGGCTTAAATTGTGCATAATGTTTACGGCCCAAAGACGAAACTTTCGACCAAAAGAAATATGCCATATGAATCAGGTAAGTGCATCTCAATCTTCTACGTGTTTATATCAATATTTTTCGGAGGATCCATTCTCTTAAATGTCCTATCTCAAGGGTTGTCAGACTGGTGATATGTGGTCATACGAACGCGGACATGCCGTGCACGCGTGGCGAACGGCGTAACGGGGAAGTGGGACGAACCCCGGGAAAAAGCCTAACGGTTAGGGAACATTTACGTGTCTAGATCGTCTTGGCGAGGAGCGATGTGAGTCGGCAAAGACCGACGTCATCCGCCGCTGTACATACACCACCGCGCTGCGGATGGCACCCGTTACTGGGACGGTCCTATGCAGGTCCAGGGATGAGGTGGATTGGATTGCAGGTGTGTGAAATTCAGAAATCACTCCTGTTGACGATTGCATACTGGCTCTTGACACATTTTGTTGAGTTAACGTTGGATTGTATGCGTCTGAATTTCATCCTCAATGCATTTCTTCGTAAACATCAGACCCAGAGCTCTCGCTCTACATTTTCGGACATTTTGTACCTCGAGAAAGGAAGTCGAGTGCGTGATTTTGAACAGAGTCGACGAACTACGAATATAAATGACGGTCTGCAAAGTTTGTCCTTACATCTTAAGTCCGCGTGACAAGAACGTGCCCCCAGCCAAATCTGAACTCCTCTGCGCCTGGTCATCAACTCAAGTTTTATCCAACAGTAAGCAAGATTAGAAGGTGTTTGTCGCCACCACGCTTGCTAATCACAAAGTAAACACAGAGTTTACTCTGTAAAAACAGAGAGCTTACGGGACTCATCACAGAGTACAGCACGAAAACATACGGAAGCGTAGCCAGCGTAAACTAACGGCGGCCAGCCACCCAGTTCACCAAGAGACAGAGCCAGGGACTATTCCAACCATTCATACTACATCACTAGCCCACCCTTTCCCCATGCCGGGAGGACAGACAACCAAGTCCTAGACGTCCCCCACCTCCCCGCCCCTCGTGGGCCTCACCTTCTTTCCAGTCGTCATCTCGCCTCTCTGATCCGCCGCATGCCGCGCGGGCGTCTCCGACCGTCTCCACTCCGACGAACGCGGCGCGGGCGCGGCGGGCGGGGGCGGCGCGACCGGCAGCGGACGCGGCGGCGCGGCTCTGGTCGCGGCGCTCGTCTGACGCCGCGCTCCCCGCGCCATTTGGGTCACTGTTCGCGCGCTGGTTCCGCTACGCTTCCCCGCAGGCCCGCTTCCGGTCGGTGTGGCGGCGCGCCGGCGGCAACGCCTGCCGATGGCGGGGCGCGCGCTGGTGCCCCGCTGATGCGACTGGGGTGGAGGGCGACCCGTGGAAAGGGGCCGTGACCTGTGCTGGCTCCAACGCTGGTGCTCCGCTGATGCGGCTGGGGTGGAGGGCGACCTGTGGAAAGGGGCCGTGACCTGTGCTGGCTCCGATGCTGGTGCCGATGCTGATGTCGCCGGGGCGGCGTGGGGACCCGGGTTGGAGGTCTTATGCCCTGCGCTGGCGCCGCTGCAAGTGCCACCCGGGCGCCGCCGGGGTGAAGGGACGACCGGGGTAGCCCATGATCTGTGCTGGTGCCCCCCTCGGGGTCGCCGGGGTGGACAACCCAGGAAGCCCATCGCCGTGCTGGTGCCGACCCCGGTGCTGCCGGGGTGAAGGGACGACCCAGAAAACCCATTACCTGTGCTGGTGTCGCTCCCGGTGCCGCCAGGGTGCAGGGGCGAGGCAGAAAGCCCATGACCAGTGCTGGTGTCGCTCCCGGTGCCGCCAGGTGCAGGGGCGAGGCAGAAAGCCCATGACCAGTGCTGGTGTCGCTCCCGGTGCCGCCAGGGTGCAGGGGCAGGCAGAAAGCCCATGACCTGTGGTGTCGCTCCCGGTGCCGCCAGGGTGCAGGGGCGAGGCAGAAAGCCCATGACCTGTGCTGGTGTCGCTCCCGGTGCCGCCAGGGTGCAGGGGCGAGGCAGAAAGCCCATGACCTGCTGGTGTCGCTCCCGGTGCCGCCAGGGTGCAGGGGCGAGGCAGAAAGCCCATGGCCTGTGCTGGTGTCGCTCCCGGTGCCGCCAGGGTGCAGGGGCGAGGCAGAAAGCCCATGGCCTGTGCTGGTGTCGCTCCCGGTGCCGCCAGGGTGCAGGGGCGAGGCAGAAAGCCCATGACCTGTGCTGGTGTCGCTCCCGGTGCCGCCAGGGTGCAGGGGCGAGGCAGAAAGCCCATGACCTGTGCTGGTGTCGCTCCCGGTGCCGCCAGGGTGCAGGGGCGAGGCAGAAAGCCCATGACCTGTGCTGGTGTCGCTCCCGGTGCCGCCAGGGTGCAATGGCGACCCAGGACGGGGGAGCCGTGACCTATGCTGGCGCCGCTCGGGGATGGAATGGCTCTGTTGTCGGCGCTGAGATGAGCTGGTGTTACCGACCAAATCGGACGAGTCTGATCTGACAATAAGCGAAAAGTACAAAAGGGTGGCATACTCCCTTTAACGTGAGGACAAACCCGACCGTTGGCGTTATGTATAAATTAATAATTAACAACCAAAGCGGAATTATTCGCTTCGCAAACCATTTCTGACGAGCTTTATTTCATTGCTGCTGGCATAGATCTGTGAACTCGGTGGTAAAAGTCTCGCTGTCACGGATTAACTTTCGCATCGGAACAGCATAATTTTTATTTCATTACTCGACGGAATTTTTTAGACGAGACGTTAGCACTAAGGAGACGATTATGAGAAAAACTGTGCCCGTGAACCGTGCGATTATTTCCCGCATTTTGTCCATTGTTTCTCCGGCCGCCGTCAAGGTGGGACTATAGACCGTCAAGACCGGTGAGGTTCACCGTAATGGGACCATACATCGGCATTCGCGGTATACCGTATGTGTTACGTAACCATACTTTTGTGGCCACCAGCCTCGGTCGGCTTGGTTTTGTCGCATTTTCCCCCCGTAACGTGACGTCATAGTGACGCATGGCGGTGTGACTGTCCGCGATCTTTCCACACCTTACTGCCACATTGCACCTGTCACTTCTTCGCAAACCTTGTGTTTATGGCACTTAAAATATGTTGGCAACTGAAGGAGTGTGTTTGCGATCATGCACCTAATTGACAGAGACTAGATGTTCGGACGGTATTATCTCTTTTTTATTGCTGTAGCTCAGCAAATAGCGGCATTAGCTTGGCGAGCTAACTGATGTTTGCTTCAGGCGTGTGCTCTTTACCTGCTTGGGATACCGGCATTATCAGTTAGTTTTCGCGGTAATGTATCAAAATCAGCCTTCGGTGGACAAAACATCCAATTAAAAGCACTTTCGACTAAGCCATTGATATAATGCTTTCCACGCCTAGTATGCGCCTTTCTTGTCGTTCTCCGCGGCGTGGTCCGCAGTGCCAATGACCGCTTCCATCCTCCCCCCGCGGTCCGCTACACGGCGGGTGGCGACACCCCTCCCTTCCCACCGTGCCGTGCCGTGGCGCTGGCGGCGGCGGGGCGGCAGTCCGGCCCGCTGCCCTGGGCGTGGCCCGCCCCGCCGGCCGGGGGACGCCGAGGGAGGGGCAGCCAGTTCCGGGAGCGCGCCACTTGAACCGGGATCAATCATCGGCCGCCCAGTGACGGCCGACTGCGCGCGCTAATGCTTGGCGCCGGGGCCGCGGCCGCGGGCGGTTCGGCCGGCGCGGCACGGGTCACGGCCACGGAATGTGATAGGTGTCGCTGGGTGAGGGCTGCGTCGCTGAGGAACGGTGTGGTGCCTGGTGCGCGCGGTCCGGACGCGGAAGTGTCGAGAGCTTGCGGGCTGGCGGCGACATTTTTGTCTTTCTCGGTAGCACGTGACCCGAACAGGAGTTATACAGATGAACTGAAAAATAGGCATGGTGCTTGCACCACAAAATGCTTATTTGTCAAGAATGTCAGCCCATTAATGGACAAGTAAGGACAGCATGGTAGCACCGACGACAGGAGAGCGTGTGGATCGAATGACAAATGACGCACCGAGCGCAGCCACATGAATGTGACATGATCCATGATAACGTTGTTTCTATAAGGCTTTGTAATGAAGGGTCACTAATTTCCTGAATTATTCTGAAACATGCACCAATAAGACAGCAGGAACATAGCCAGAACAAACTCCCAGAGGGGGGGGGGGGGCAGCGTCCCGACAAGAGGGCAAGAGAGCAGAGGGTTTCAAAGCGACCCATTTTTTCCCGGCTGAGACAGTCATATCATTCACCTGTTTTTCTTCAAATGAGTTGCAAATCTCAACACAAAAAAGGCTTTATTGAACCTTCTTGACACCCACGCCCAACTAGAGGTTACACGGAACGTAGCTGGGCTGCATGTCAAATTTCAGGGGATGCCCGGGCACCCAGCGGACCCGCCTGGTTACGGGCCGGACAGCGCGCAGACATGTCGATAACGCTCCACTATTCAGAGCATTATAGTCGCGTGACGTTACCTCTTATTTTTGCCCAAAGTTGGCCAAACAGCTCAAACGCAAAAACAAAAGGTATCACTCGGAACATTATAACATACCTGGGGAGAAAACGGGAGGGCCTGCCAGCAACAGCATGAGCACAACAGTGAGGGCATCGGCACATGAGTACACCAACGCCTCTAGAGGCACTGCGAGCAATACAGATCAAACGTCCGTGACGCGTCAATCCTGTCTTTTTACATCGGACCCAAACCATGTGATGAAACATTTTGTTTTCAGACCGTCTTTGACATGGACTACCATGCCAGCATCTCACACCAACCTAGCAGCCTTTACAAAACGAAAATGAACGTAGCTCAAAAATGGGGGAAGGCTTTTTGAAATACTTATTATTTATGACGGGTTTACACTCCATTCGAAGATAGCAGCCTACTATCTGTCATCTATGGCATTGACAACGGCAGGCATGTAACACAAACATAAAAAATTAAATAAATAGCACGTATGAAAGCGTATCTTTCCAGCCTGATGCTGTTGGTTCGCTTCGTTTCTATGGCCGCCTCCACGGCGCTGGGCATTGGGATGCTACACGCCATGAACCGCATCGAGACGACGGCCACGCCGATCCGAGCCGAGATTTGAAACTATTGTCAGCATAGGCATGGGTATAGTTACCTCTCCGGAAGCCTGCGAACGGTGCTACCAAAATCGTCTTAGCGAGAAGAAACTCCATACCTGACATCCATACTGGAAACTTTGCATCGCTCGATGAATCTTCCAACGTGCACAGCATTATCTCAACGCACGCGAGGGCGGACTCCATGCACGTGTGATTTTGACGGCGATTATGTGAGAATCGCTGGGCACCCGAATTGGGAAGAGCGACTATCGCGTCGAGCAACAGGGTACCAGCGACTCAAATATGGCGGCACTTTCCTCTCGTTGGCCGCCGCCCGCCGCCTACCCTGGCCGAACACGTTCCAGCAGTCCTCTGTCTACTCTGGCGGATGGTGATCTGACATGACTGGGCAGGTGCCGGGTCCATAGAGCGCCAGGTCACACCAAATATCAATCGACGCCACAGCGGTGTCAATTCCTTCTCCGAACTTAGAGTGCGGGGTTTATTTAAACCCATGCCAGTGGTACGACGCAACGTTGGGCAGACCTCGATTCCGTGCAGAATGGCCCGGTTCTGCTGCCGTCGGCGAAGGAGATGTACCGTTCAGTGGGATACGGGAAGCCGAAAGTACATCTATTTTGAGGGAAAAGATATGGTTGCGTTGCAGCTGGCACAAACACGACGTGAATATGCGGCTATCTACATTCATATCTCAGCCGAATCATTGATAATCCAATAAACCCCGGCCCGATGCACAAATCTAAAGCAATCATTTGCAGCGACAACCAAAATGTGGTTGATTTCGGTTTCAGATGGAGCCATATACAAGTGAGCACGCAAGTGATGTTGAGCCCCGCATGAGCCCCCTGCATCCTTGATGTGGCCTCTGATCTGTAGTGGCATAAGGCACTGCAGTGCACCAAGTCTATACGATCATTTACAGCGCCAGCGGATGTACGGCGCGGCGCACGACCGCCCGGCCTCCGGACATTGGGCGAGGACACGGCCTCGTCCATTACACACGTCACACGTCATACGTTGTACGTCATAAGTCAATGGCCCGACACAGGGTTGATCGGACATATATTTCATTAGTCAGCAGGGAACACTGCTGTCGCAAATTACGGTACCACACATTCCTTCATTAAGTACATGGCTTCAGCGGCACGTGTCAAAACGTAGATCACAATTACGTAACACGTCACACATTTTCGACATCACACCAGCAGCCATTGCGCGCCTGCTTTTCAGTCCGTTTTGAGCCAGCGCCTTCCTGTCACACAGCAGTCCGCACACCGTCGGACGTCTAGCAGCCGGGCGGTATCCTGTGGAACAGACCGGGGGAATATGTCAGGGAGAAAACGGTAGGCCCGCCAGTGAGCATTATTTTCCTGATATAAAAACAACGCAAGATGGAGTGAGACGCAAAACAAACACATCGGCACACTTAAGCACAGTGGGGCTGCCGGGACGAACAAGCTCGCAGATTACGATGGCAAGGTGCATTTATCAGTCGTAACGAAATAACACGAGGCAAGCAGGAGCGCTGGCATTCATTGCTTTACCTTTATTAATCAGCTGACGTGGTGAGGTAAGCGACTGTGCCTAGCCTCCGTGGTATATCACAGCAAACACATAACTGGTAGATACATAAAAAAAACTGGACACCACCCTACGCTCCCTATAGATAGGACGAAGTCATTTTGAAATCGCACTGTACAGAAATCTACGCCTCTCAAAACACTGAACGTAGGCTGAATCATGGCAACTGGTGCACACGGCCCGGTCCACCGGCAGGACGCCACCGCCTCACGTCAGCCGTTCCTTACGTCTGGAAGCCATCCAGCGCGTGCGTGAGCTTGTTGCGGACCAGGAAGGTGGCGACTATGCCGGCAACCCGGTCCGGCACGTCCTCGTGCACGGCGTGACCAGAGCGGGGCACCACCTGGATCTGGAACTTGCCTGCAATCCGGCGATACAGTGTGAACGCCGGATATGCCAAAATATGGAGCTGCCTGGCGAGACGGAGCGTCATCTAGCGCCGATGTCTCTAGATTGAGGTTCTACATTAGTCCAGAGATGGCGCCATAGTGGGACGAAGTGCATGCGATTCCAAAGCATGTCGCAACACGCTTAACCATCGTCGCTACGTCCAGTCTACATACCGATGGAGAGGAAGCCGGAGGCACATATGAGTGCGTCTCACATTCAGCATTAAAGAACTATGAGCCGCGAACAGTGTCAGGAATGGGGGAGACATAATACTACCTATCAGCCACAACACAAGTCATCAGCCGCAGTCACGTGACCAAACCGACACGGCTTTCCAACCCTTGAATCACAACATGGGCGCCCCGCAACAGCACATCTGTCACCGCCCGGCACCGCGCACGGCCGCCGCCTGGAGTCGACCTCGGCGCCCGCCCGACTGACCCTGCATCTGGCCGACGGAGAGCTCGCGGTCGAGCCGATCTATGCCGGCCAGCAGGAGCACTTTGGGAGGCGGCGCGGACAGGAAGAGGCCGGACAGGCCACGGAACCAGCCCTGCCAGTGCGGCTCCGTCGACGCCAGGTCGATCCGCCAGGTGTAGGACTGCGGACAGGGCAGCGCCGTCGATGCTGGCTGGGGCACCTGCTGACGTCCCTGGTCCCAGACGTGGGCGCACCCGCAAGAGAAGGCGAGGTCGAGACATGTCGGCTACATGCGGCAGATGTGATGGCTGGAGGCGCCGTGCTCAAAACGACGGGTGTAGACTGCACGCACAAGCGCGTTAGGAGGTCTTCCCATATTGCGTGTGTGTGAGAATCGCCCAAAGCCTTATAGGTGGAAGCCACGTCGGTGCTCAACAATTTCACGTGGGCCACGCCTAGCTGCTCGATCTAAAATTACTACATTAATCCATATAAGTTTAATAATGGCGAGCTATTCATATTAATAGCAAAAGTGACTTCTTCAACTAGGAACCACATAAGTGTGCAGAGGGGGAGTTTCATTGGAAAACCATGAATCTCCAGCGAAGGAAGCGGACAGTACCAGACCCACACCCGACCAAATCACGACAGGGGGGGGGGGGGGGGCGGGGGTATAGCTGCAGGCCAGCTGCTCCGTCGAAGAGCGCTCGGCACGTGCCGTCCGGCCGAGCCCCTCACCTGGGCGGCCGTGGGCGGCGGGCTCGGCTGCGGTGCAGCAGAGGTCTCCCGCTCGTCCTCGTCCTCCTCCTCCTCGGGGATGGAGCCGGCCGGCCGGGCGACGGCGGCGGCGCTGGCCGGCGGCGAGGTCGGACTGCCGCTGCTCAGGCCGGCCGCCAGGTCACGGGTGGCCGGCGCGTCCGTCTTCACGCTGCCCGGTCAGGGCCACACGTCGGGCGGACGGACGTGGCTTACCGCTCCGCATCTGGCCGGGCCAAGCGAGCAACCACACAGGCAGCCTCTCACGTTCACCAAACGCCGCTGAGAGGTGGGCGCAGCGGCGTTGTATTGTGGCGTATTTAAACGTTGTGTGTGTGTCATTGGGGCTTTGCGACGCACCCAGCGGCTTGGGCTATATGGCGTCGCCTGCCTTTCCCCCTGGCAGGAAGGGCGGGCACCGCGGGGAATCGAATCCCGTACCTCTGGTTTCCCAGGTGCGCGGTGGTTAACGCAGACGCGTTAACCACTACACTATCGGCATCCCGTATTTCAACGTTGATTGTGCGTGAAAATCGTGAGCATGTATGAAAAGGAACGCAAGGGAACGAACACAAGGGCATGTTGCCCAGGAAAAATGACAACTGCTTACTTTTTTAGTTGTCCCGGCACGGAAACGCGCGCCGATTCTGCATTCCTGACAGCTCCGGACTTAACGCTGAAACACACCATGGCAGCCTGCAGCGCCGATTAATACTGCCAAACCGACAGCAAAGTAACGCAATGATGAGGCAGAACAATAAAACCCAACGAAAGCGACATAAATGCACAGCAGCCAAGCAAAGACCCGTTACGGTTTTGCAGGTCTTCTTCGCGCTCGTCGCGTGACACCCCCGCCTCCATACTGCCTCGACACTATCTAGTATCGATCATCACGCGTCTGGCCTATCGAGTGGACAGACCAAACCGCGCCGCGCTCCACTGACCACCACTCGATGCCGTGCTGGACGGAGGCGAAGCGCTCGGGCCGGCCGCGCAGGAAGGTGTGCATGGCGCCGAGCGCGTCGACGGCCGTGCCCTCGACCACGTCGATGACGACGAGGCCGACGAGCGGGCCGCAGCACCAGGCGTGGGGCCGCGTGCACGGCCAGCGCGCCGCCCAGGCTGTGGCCGACCAGGACGGCCGGCGGCGCGGCCGGCCCGTACACGGCCGATACCACCGACGTCAGGTCACTACGCGGTGGCGGGGGACGGGGAGGTGGTCAGGGGTCAAGGCACGGCGAGGGAGAGTATCCGGGGAGACCCGTCTTTGGAGCGAGAGGCACTGGGAATGCTCGGTTCAAAACGGCATCTGTCGATAAAGTCACTGAACCTACGGCCGTCACCGCAACCACGGTGTCGCAGAATCGCAAGCTCTTGGACGAGATAACTTCCACTGAAAGGTCATAACAGGGCCAACATTTACGCCAATGACAGGATAGCTTAGCACCATACACTTGTGCACTGGAGTGTAGCAGCACGCTCGGCATCCCTCCTCACTGATGGGCGCTACATGACCGCGCGGCCGAAGCTCCCTAAAGCCTCAACTACTAGCACTGCCCTCCTCACCGCGCTCCAGCACCGACCCTCCCCACCGCCGGCCTGTCTGGAGCGCACGCCGCCGGCTCGACCCTCACCTGACCAGCCGCTCCATGGACAGGTCCTTCTCGTCGGCGGCGGCCGTCTCGCCGTGACCTCGCATGTCCACGGCCAGCACCTGGCAGTCCACACTCTGCACTATCCGCTCCTGAAAGGCGCCCGTGAGGTGGATCGCGCGCGAGACGTCCGGCACACGCGGCTGTTCGCTGATGTGGAGGGAAGAGGCAACAGGTGGGCCCACAACAGGCATGGTTCAAAGTGATCAGTGAACAGGAAGGTATGCTGGACTTTCGGCGAATACCAGTGACGATCGGAAAAGGCCCATAGTACTTCCATCCGCAGTGTGGCAGAGTTCAGCCACCTGAGTGCCAAAGACGCGGATACTTTTTCATGCTATTACACACGTGTCTTGGGTCAAATCAGGTCGACCAATCACGTAGCGAGTCGGATGACGGCCAACCCAGCATCTATGCGCCCCAGGCAACGCAGATCGGGTGGCCATGTCTAGATGAGCGTTCAGAGTCAAAGGACAGCAGTGTGTGGCGCGGACGCGGGCGTGTTGTGGTGGTGGTGTGGGTAAGGGGGGGGGGAGGCAGCGGGAGTGGCCGAGTTCTGGTGACATTAATTTGTATTCATCCCCCTGGCATCAAGCTGAACAAATTTTGCCACAATGTCTGTCAGTTCCCAAAAAAATAAGTGACACCCTGCACCTTAACAAATGGCCATGACGTCCAAATGAGTCAAACAGAACTCATGACAAGGCTCTCATGGTGAATAGCAAGGTCAATGAAAGTCGGTGGTTACAGACCCGTGATGCTCACCAAGGCTCACTGGTGAGTTCATCAGGATTCTGGTGATGAGGTTGACCAAGAAAAGTTTGAATAAAGAATAGGTGCATTGTCAGAAAAAAACATGACAGGCAGCACCAGAAACAATCATAAGGTAAGGAACACTAAAAGCTCATGTAAACTGACACCAAAACTGTCTACTGTGCTCACAGGGCAGTAATGCAACAATTTGAGACTTCTACACACGTGATAGAGCCAAAACGCCTGCCAAGCTGTCAGCCACTGACCGTGAAGAGCGCCCAGGTGAGCCCACTGAAGCCGCCGCCGTGCAAGAGCACGAGCAGCGGCCCGGAGGAGCCAGACCGGTACACATGGAACACGTCTCCTCCATCCAGCTGGACATCTTCAGCAGAGCTGAAATACTGCTGCCAGGTGGTCGGTGTCAGGTCCCGCCTACGCCTGCTGACAGGGGATGGGATGAAATACCAGGTGGTCAGTGTCAGATCCCACTGAGGCCTGCTGACAGGGGATGGGATGAAATACCAGGTGGTCGGTGTCAGGTCTGCTGAGGCCTGCTGACAGGGGATCGGATGAAGAACCACTACCAGGCAGTCAGTGGCAGGTCCCGCCAATGCTTGCTGACAAGGGATGGGATGAAGTACCGCTGCAAGATGGTCGGTGTCAGGCCCTGCCAACGTCTGATGATGAAGGATGGGATGAAACACTGCTGCCAGGTGGTTGGTGTCAGGTTTGGCCAACACCTGCCGATGGGATGGAATGAAGCACCGCTGCCATGTGGTCAGTGTCAGGTCCTCCCAACATCTGCTGACAGGGGATGGGATGAGGTACCACTACCAGGTGGTCGCTGTCAGGTTCTGTCAACACCCACTGACAGGGGTGGGATGATGCACTGCTACCAGGTGGTCAGTCATGTCTCAATGATACCTGCTGATGGAAGATGGGAGTCAGCACAGGACATGGATCCAGACATAGCTGAGCCCAACTTACCAAATACCTTACAAGGTTACTCACAGGCTAGACTATTTACCCACATGATGAGATACAGCCCACTATGTAAAAGGCTTGGAGATGTGAGTTCCTGCAAGAAGAGCCCCTTGATAAATGATGATAATCCTGATCATGTTATACTGAAAGGTGAAACCAGCAATGGTTAAAGTGTTCTTAAAAACACTGTGAAGTGCATGGTACAATACATGACATAAAAAAGAGCATTGAACAAATGGGTATAACATTACATACTGACCATCAAGCAGATTACATGGTGGCCCATGACACAATGTTGAGCATCTGTGTACTTCATTTGGAGTGAAGAGGCCCTTAATCTGAGGTTCTTGACCATCCATGATAATTTATCCAAACAGTCACACTGCATGTCCAAACCTAGAGCAAAAAAGATAGAGCTATTCAAATGACCACCTTTGACCTATTCTTTTGACCACCTATTCATATTAAATAACTCTTTTTAGCATACTGCCCAACCTTGATTTTCACAGCAGCTCTCCAAGGCCAATACTGAATTAATCATCTGCTCAAAATCAGAATGATAATTAGTTATCCATAAGGATAAAAAAGGCTTGCTGAGACATGCTACTCAGCAATTCAAGGCATCTACCTGGCATGGGCATGTGTGGTACAGAGGTGGGGCAGCAACAGGATCAGCAGAACCCTGGTGATCCTGCTGCTGCCACTTTGTGTAGCCTGGGTTTGGGCCATGCATGACATAAAGTAACATCACACTGTGGTCATCTATCTGAACTTGGATCTTTCAAACTTCCAGCCATGTTGCAGCATGTTGTTTCAAGATTTTGCCAAGACTGATACCCATTGTCCCAAAAATAATGATATATATATATATATATATATATATATATATATATATATATATGTAGAGAGAGATAAGACTATGTGTGTTTATATCTGCATTAAACCACTCATGGCATTCCTCACACCTGGGTATGGGATGCACACTATCATTGCACACACAGACACACACAAAAATTCACATACCTGCCAGCAGAAGCTCCTGGTACATTTCCCATAGGTGGAAGAGGACACTTCATTTTAGTGCTTGCTTTTGGAGAGATGACATTGTCACAGTGCCAGATTTAGACCTGAAAAAACATGGTTATACTTAGGCATGTGACCTTCACATTTTCTGTGGAATGTTGGGGAGTGGGGGGGTTGCAATGTAACAATGCAGTTTTGCTCCAAGCTATGCATAACAAAAGCCTCTGATCTAGTTTGTGAAGAGCCTGACTACGCTAACCTAATTTTGCAGTTGTCAAGCCACCTGTCGGACATGTAGCTATGTGTCCAAGTGACTTAGGGACGTAGAGATTACCATCTTAATGTAACACCTTTAAGGCCTCCAACACTAGGGTCACAGGGCAGGCGCAAAACAGCAGGACCGGGCAACCCCCCACCTCTCGCCGATGCCATCATCCAGTACCCGATCCGGACGCGTACCTCAAAATGACCAAGGCGCGCACGCTTCAATTTCTGCACCCAATAGCCCTAGGGCAATATCGTTCTGTCAATATCACGACTAACCGGCGTTCACCTTCGACCAAAACAATCGCGGGGCCCCAGCACGTTCCCGGGATGTTGTTAAGGTTGGGTATTTTCGAAAAGTACATAGGGTGTTGGGAATGTGCCCGCTGTGTTCAATGGACCGGGTGCAAGGACCGGTAATTGGGCTAGATAGGCAGCACAGTTTGCTTTT